TGTCCGTTTAAACGTCTGCGTTTAGCTTCAAATGGCGTCTTTGACGACAGTATTCTATAAAAATTATTTGCATTCCGATCTTGACATCAAAAGGCACAAAAATATATTTTTTCTTTTATTCCATGAATTTTACCCATTTACCTCCACTTGTTCCCAGTGTTTTTCTGCAACCACTATGCGCGCGCAGCTGCAAGTGACGTAACTGTACTCTAAATTGATCTATGGGCTCAAGTGGCTGTTTGTATAGCCGCTAGAGGGCAGGAGGCGCTGAGCGCTGCTTCAATCATCCATCAGCTGAGAGGACAGATCACATCCAGCAGAAACTAGAGAAGACACATCTGAAGATGCGCACATGTCCTCCCGCGGAGAACAAGACCACTAATGCTGTGAAGGTAGGATATACATGACTTTTTATTTCTGAAGGGAAAGTGCGATTGTTCAGTGCTTTTTTTCCAGCAGATTTGCGCTTTTTTTTCCTATAGAAAGTTTGTAAGCATTTAAATTTGTTGGGTTCTTTTAAATGCTAATGAATACCAGTAAACAGCTCACAATAAAATCAGTTTTAGAAGTGCAGAATACATGTTATTCACCAAAGACTTAAGTGCGTGCATTACTTGTTCACTGTGCATGCTTTATTGTAAATAATTTATTATAAATATATGTTACTCTGTGTTTGCTGATGCTAATGCAGTTATTTGTGCTTGTTTTGTCCCTGACAATTTCAATCTAATCTAATCTAATTTCATTTAATCGAATCGAATCAAAGTGCTATCTGTAGTTTTTTCTTCATCCTTAAATATATATATATATATATTTTTTTTTTTTTTTTCACTATACAGTTTACATTTATGTAGCTCGATGCAAGTCCATTTGCCCTTTAGGCCAGGTTGGTAAAAAAGCTACGTATCATTTAATAGTACACAGGGACTATTTGTAACACTCTTAAAAAAAGGTTCTTTATTGGCATTCATGGTTCCATGAAGAGCATTTACTATCCCTGGAACCTTTCCAGTGCAAAAAAAAAAAGTTTGTATAATGGAACAAGTTTCTTCAGATTATTAAAATATTCCTCACACTAAGAAAATATTATTCTTTTAGGAACTGCTCATTGAAATATTCTTTGGGACTAAAATATTTATTTTCCATTGCATTGCTGCAAAAACATCCTTTTGTAAACTATTTATAAAAGTACACAAGTACAGAAAAGGGGTAGTGATTTCCGTTCTGTTTGAAAGAAAAACAAGTTAAGTTTTAAGTAAACATGCATGAAAATTGAGCATTATCATAAATCCATCCCTAATGTGGCCATCTGTGAGCTTTTTGCCCTCCAATCTCTCAGTAAGCATCCGAGTTTCACAGAGAGTGAATGAGTTATGAATATGTCTTCTTCCATTAAAAGCACAGTTTTCAAATAATGTCATCAATGAACCATTTTGGGTTTCCCCAAAAAATAACTCTCAGTGAAAGAACCATTTTTTCTTCGGGTAAAGAACATTTTAATAATCAAAAGAACCTTTTTCCACGATAAAGAATATTTTTTGGAATGAAAAGTTTCTTAATGGAACCATCGATACCAATAAAGAACCTTTATTTTTAAGAGTGTAGGATAACACTAGTCCAACAATGAATGTTCTTTAAAAGTATGTTGTGGAAACTTATTTTCTTAATTTTGCAGCCAGCAACAAATGATGTGTTCAAACAAGAATATGAAAGATCCTGGTGCTCTGACAGACCAGTAAAAAGAGACGATGGGAGAAGCAAACAGCACCTCCACCGGAACATGGACTCTCATCCACCCATCGGGGAGCCCCCATGACCTCATGCCCAATTACGACATCCCCCTGGATTACCAGGTTCCGGTGGACGAGATCCCAGACACGACTCAGGGACGAGCGTTCTTCGTGGCTACAATCGTTATCGCGGTGGTCCTGGTCTGCATCATGCTGGTCTGCGGCATTGGGAATTGCCTCTTTATAGCCTCATTGGCACGCTACAAAAAACTAAGGAATCTCACCAATTTACTCATCGCCAACTTGGCAATATCAGACTTCCTGGTGGCGACTGTATGCTGTCCCTTTCTGGTGGATTATTACGTGGTCAAGCGGCTGTCATGGGATCATGGGATTGTGCTTTGCGTCTCCATTAACTACCTTAGGACTGTGTCTCTCTACGTGTCCACCAATGCCCTGCTAGCCATCGCGGTGGACAGGTGAGCATTTGTCTCTCTGAGCTCATGCAGCATGATGCTAAATGTTGTATACACTGTGGGTCAATGTATTTATTAAATAATCATGGTAAATTGGTTTTGGTCACAAGGAAACAAGCTTGTAGGACAAAATCTCCCATCATTTGCTGTAGCTGCATAACAAGGCCAAAATACACAGAAAAAACATCATTACACATTTAAAGCAACAAAATGAAGAACTAATGATGTGCATTAAGTTTTAAAAGGTTCCTGTCATTATGAGAAAGTGCCACTTACTACGAATAGGGTATTTTTTTTCCTTTTTTAAAAAAAAATTCAATTCAGTTCAGAAAGTATGCATTAAATTGATCAAAAATGAATTTACTATTAATCAAAGAATTATTTAAAAAATTCTCAGTTTCCACAAAAATATTAATATTAACTGTTTTCATCATTGATCAGTTTCTGAAGAATCATGTGACACTGAAGACTGGCGTAATGATGTTGAAAATTCAGATTTAACATCACAGGAATAAATTGCATTTTAAAATATATTCAAAAAGAAAGTGATTCAATTGTAATAATTTTTTTTTTTTTACTGTATTTAAAAGCAAATAAATGCAGCCTTGGTGAACAGAAGGGAATTATTTCAAAAACATAAAAAAATCTTACCAACTCCAAACTTCTGAATGGTAGTGTACATAATATTAATATTAAAGCTGCAGTCCGTAACTTTAGGCACTCTAGCGGTTAATAAACAGAACTGCGTGCGTCTTGCGGAAGAACATTGTAGCCGGAACTACTTCTCTCGGTTTATGTCTATGGCGAATCACGCAGGTACTGGTTTACTCCGCAGCGGTACCTACCCGAACCAGTCTAAAATAGTCCGAATATAAACACTTACTATAGGTGTACCGTAGTGATTCAGGACAAGCCAAAAACACGGGTTGGAAAATGCATTCATGGTGTACTCGATTATTATATTCATTTTGTAAATTTTGAACACAAAAAAGTTACGGACTGCAGCTTTAAATGTTACTTTTTTTTGTTGTTGTCTACTTTCTGCTGTCATACAGCTATCACAAGCTCTTATGCAGTTTTTAACATACATTTCCCATAGATTATTTAAAAAGTTTTCTTAACTTTGGTAACAGGGTTGTCTAATTTCGTTAATTTAATGTTGGATAATTTAGCTCTTTAAGTTTGTACCGTATTCATGAAAAGTGTCACGTGAAAAGAGAAACTGCTCAGCTTGTGCATTTTTTAAAAACCAAAATGACTTAAACATGCACAAAATCATATTTACGACTTCCAATCTTCTCAGAAGGACATGAAGGCAGGATTAGAGACTTCAGTTCAGATTTTAGTAGACTCAAATTTGGATTAGGTGCAGACTTCATTCATACATTCAGAGCATGCTTTCTGAGGTGCCGCTACACCTGCATGTGAGGAATTGCACGGAGCTTGCATCACGTTTGGCCAATCCCTGAGGCTAAGCTAGCTAATTAGCATGTCAATATTTGAATGGCCAGGCAGAACATCCTGCATTTAGCCTTCAGCAACAGCCTTAGACGTCAGCTGACGGGTCTGCTAGTCAGAAATTTAGCATCTGACACAACGTACAGTACATTCAACAGTCTCATCGCCTCTAAAGATCTTAATGTGAACCCATTAGTCAGTCCTTGCTGCAGTTTGGTTCTTAATCTATTCGCAAACACATTTCAGCAAATAATTTGACAAGCATTTATTTAAAAAATAAAATAAAACATATCGAGCTGCCTACCTGCTGTCTACTAAGGCAGCATCTTCTAAGACAGCATCCTACCTGAAATTAAGCCTTGTAAATTTAACTTATTGCTATAGATTTTGATATTAGCATGTCACTAAGACTTCCACACTGCTCTTATCTTACAATGCCATTCGTCAAATTGTCCAACCTGTTACTCCCGGCATGCTGTTTCCCATGAACTTTGACTTATTTGTGAACTTGTGAAGTAGCACAGATGATACATATCAATAGTAAATTTAATAAAGTAAAAAAAAAGTCTTTGGTCTTCCCATGCATTACAGTAACCACATGTATTTGGGGCGAAAGTAGATTCTGTTCACTCCTGCCGATCTAGCAGAGACTCCGTTATCCCTGTTGAGCCAGTGAAGATTGCAAAGGTTCCCTTTGGGAAGAACAGAACTCTTTGGAACTTTGGAATATCGGAATTTCAAGCACATACAGATGAGTTAACAAATTAAATTCATATTTACCAGTAAGAAATTTAGAATTATTACAGACAGTGGGACAGATTTTAGTGCATGAGAGAAAACCAGAAGAGCCCTGGGCAAAGATGTGCTGTTAATCAAAATGGACAGTGTTTAAATGGGTAGAAATAGTGCTGTATCTTTCATTTAGAGAACAAGTGATGGAGGAGCCTGTTATTCGTCATGAATGTCAAAAGGTTATGAAATATCTCATTAAGAACGGGGAGCAGTGATCAGATCAGACAGAGAGATCAGAGAGTCAGTATGTGTTAATAGACTGCTGTGCGCCAGACCCATAATCCTGAATCATTTTCTACTTCTGGACTGTTCCGAGGATTTGAGCTTTGAGATGTTTCATAAATACCAATACAAATCTACCATAAACCCCCACACACCAAACACCTGATCCATTCCAATTGCTCACAGTTTCCTAAAGCAGATTCAAATCCAGACCCAGTCCAAATTCTACAATTCAGAATTTAAGAACTGGCCACAGGAAGTTTGAACTGGAATTAAAGGAAGTGGAATTTACTGCATTGCAATTCAGAGAAGTTCAACAGGTATTCCATTCTGGAAAAATATAATATTAATATATCTGGATATATAGATGTATTAAATATAAAAATATATAATGTATATAATGAGTACAATAGGAGTCATTTTAGACAGATTTGTTTGTTCATCTATAAATATCAAATCTTTTAATATAAAAACTTTTTAAACTTTCAGAAAAAGCTTTTATCAAAATTTTGTTTTGATGAACACTCCTTTTCTAGCTAAAAATTGCACTTATTGAAGTCATTAAAAAATATTTGAATTCCAGTTCCTTTTCATTTAAATCTTGGTACAGTATGTTGCTTTTCATGAAGATTTACGTTGTTGTTGTCGTTTTAAATCTAGTCACTACATGTGGCGACATGTGTTTCCTTTTAAATTAGTTTTGTACTAAGGGGTCAATTGAATTTATTTTGTGACAACTATCATGAGTAAGTTGTTTTTTTTTTTTTACAATAATTATGTGCAACTGCATTCAGGCAGTTTTCTCAGCATTTTCTGTATTCAACAGGTACATGGCTATCGTTCATCCCCTGAAGCCCCGTATGAAGTATCAGACAGCGTACTGGATTATTTTTGGAGTTTGGATAATCCCAGTCCTTATCGCGGTGCCGTCGGCATACTTCGCTACAGAGCACGAATACCCACACAGCACGCTCGGCCACGACAAAAAGATCTTCTGCGCCCAGATCTGGTCTGCAGACCAGCAGCTCATGTATCGCTCCTACTTCCTCTTCATCTTCATCGTGGAGTTCCTGGGGCCCGTGGTCACCATGTCAGTCTGTTACGCGCGGATTTCCAGGGAGCTGTGGTTCAAGAGTGTCCCGGGATTTCCGACGAAGCAGCTGCGTAAACGGCTACGGCGGCGGCGCAGGACGGTGATGGCACTGATCGCGGTTCTGGTGGCGTATGTTATGTGCTGGGCGCCGTATTATAGTTTCACGTTGCTGCGCGACTTCTACCCGGCGCTGATCACGCGTGGCCGTAACTCGCTGGTCGTTTTCTACATCATCGAGTGCATCGCTATGAGCAACGGGGTCATTAACACTCTGTGTTTTGTGAGCGTTAGAAACAATGTCACAAAGTTCCTCAGAGCCGTCAAACTCGCTAACTGGCGCTCGCTAACGAGGGCGATTGTTGGCAAGATGGTCGAAGACGACATTAGGACTTCATCCTTGCGAGTGACAGAGGATGTGGAATGTACACGAATAAAGAGAAATGATGGAGAAATAAACTAGGTGATAAAAAGGCCTCAACAATGACATCATGTGGGTCAAGAAATGTCCATAAACAAATTTTGGAAGGAGCCACAGAGTCATGAACACATACGGGAACAAATAAATTAAGAATTAGCCTACTTGTTTTGGAAGCCAGAACAACAGAATTACCACCGCAAGAGGTTCAGATCACATGATAGACCAATGATATGGTTCAGCCAAGAGTTGTGATATGAAAAATTTAACTGATGAGACTGGCTTGTGTAAATGCTCCCAGATTAATATATTTATGTTTAATCCGCTACAGAAATAATTGCCCAGTTGATTAGGAAAAACATTGCTTCAAAGACCCCCTGATGTCAACATGCATTTTCAGTGATCAATGTAGATTTCCTGAAGGTGATAGACCAGAAGTAATGTTGCTGATCAAAACCCGAGTTAACAGATTTTAACAAAAGTGCCAGATGAAATGTTCAGTTTGTAAGTCCTATTCAGACTATTGTTCAATAAAAGTGGCTGTGCCTACATTTTTGCAAAAATTTTGCAGTTTCCAGCTGAAATGGACCAGTGTCAGTGAAACGCCAACTTTTATTGCTTTTCACACAAATCACAGGAGCAGATTATCAGTTGAAAAATACTTTTTCCTTGCACAATATACGTTATGACCCCAAAACACTTTTAACGTATGCATGACTTGTAAACTAATACATTTTGATGTCTGCATCACATAACCAGCTCCTTATATATGGCTTTTCTGATGTAGTAAACTTGCTCGGTAGCGCACATGGTACAGCATTGCATTTACCATGTGTCGCGCTCGGGTAAAAGACTTGTGAAACAATTCACAATAAAAGAACTCAAACACTAATAGAAGCAATCCGAAATGTCATGGTTTTTTGAGCAAATGCATTTTTCTCTCTCGTGTGCTTTTGTTAACACTATCATTTAAGTTTAGAATATAGGGTTTAGTGTAGGTGTACATTATTTATTAACCTTTTAGTGCCACTAAGTTCATTTCATTTCTGAACTGCGGCAATTTGAGGAACGATATACAGTATAATAAAACATTGACAGATTCTCATGCATTTGTTGCAGATCAAATTTCACCCACTTTTAGCGCCTCTCACTGGATATTTCACTTTGAATGTTTCACAAAACGTGCAAGAACCAACGTAATCGTTTTGCAGAAATCAATGCCACAGGTGTTTTACCAATGAGCCTGGGTTATAATCTTACTGTGCATTCATATCGTGTCACTTGGCTGTTCCCTGAATAAGTTTATTTGTTATACAAATAAACAGTTTGCAGTTGTCACTTGACCACAAAAAACATGTTTTTTATTAACCTTCCTTGTCTGTTAGGTCTTTTCAAAACACAAGGTTGAAAATTCATTCAAGCTGAAAAGGAAAAAATAAAAAATTGCATTAGTTCCATTTAGAAGTGTTTTATACAAGTGTCCCAAGGTATAAAAACATGATTAATGCAATTAACGTTAACATTTTGTTTTCTGATTATTGTACATACAATTATCTATTTAGGTTTGTTTTATCACATTTTTCTAATATATTAAATTTCATTGTATTTTTTTAAATTGACCTGAAACAGAAACGCTGTATCTATAATGGATAACAGTCACATCTGGAGTCAATCTGGAAAAACAGTCTGGATGCAACAGCTACCAAGTTAAAGCTACAATAATATCCGCCTACTGGGTTTTCACTAGACCAGAGGAACATTTAAAAACAAACAAACTTGGAAGCGTAAATCAGAGGTTAATTTAAAAACTGCAATTGTTATTACTCTGGGATCTTAAAAATATACAAATTGTAAAGTTAGTTTTCCTAGTGTTCAATCCATAAGCACACATGGGTAAAAGATGCAGTTTTGTGCCAAATCGATAAAAAGATTGTTTCCGTACAATGCCATCAATGGTTTGATCATATTTAAGACTTTCCGAGTCATTTAACGCACTGAGCAAATAGAGAACCGTGAGCAGAGCAGAGCTTGGGAGATATAAAAGTGAACGAAATCGCAGTATAACAAGTCTCGAGCAGCAAAAAAAGCCATCATTAGCAGAACCACTGGTCCCCTTGAGCATCATGAGCTAGGAATTATCATTGTGTGCCTGAATCTGAAAAACACCACATTCTGTTCTCGGTTAACTGCCTACGTAGGCTGCATTTTAAGATGCTATGTTGCCTCCAGACTCTTCGAAAAAATTAAATTTAAGATGGTGGATGAGGAGGGAAAAAAGGTGATTAGAAAAATATCAATCACTGACTAATTATTGAAATCAAATTAAATATATAACCAGGGATGCGCATAAGTTTTTCAGTCTGGTTCTCACGAGAGCACCTGGAGATTTGGAGCTCAAACAGCACATAGTGTGACCCATTAAATATAACTATAAAAAAAATTAAATAATTAATAACAGAACTTTACTGTAAAAAAATATGTTAGGACATTTTTTTGCACAAGCTTACAGACTGAACTTAAAATTTACAGTTAAAAAATATACAGTGGGTATAGAAAAGAAGACACAGTTTATGTTTTATCCAGCTGCATTTACTCCAAGTGAAAGATATAACACCAACATGTCAGAAAAATAAAAAACAGAATCACTGAGTTGGTAAAAGGATCACCCCCTCCTAAAAATGACTTGTAAACTCAATCAGGTGTAGGATCATCTTCTCACACAAAGCCATTTGACTTTCACCTGTGATCAGCTGTGCTCATTTTGATCAGCTCAGCATGAAAAGAGCTTTCCCGGAGCATTTCAGTCTTTGGTAGGTCTATGGGTGTCAAGGCACTGTCAAAAGATCTCCGGGAGAAAGTTGTGGACAGGCACAAGTCAGGAAAAGAAAAAGCCACATGACGAATTCTGGGAATGCATGCTTTAGCCACTATATGTAACTCTGAAATACTTTTATGCATCTTTTAGGGGGAAATAATGTACAAAGGTGTATCTTCTGAAAGGGTACCATCCCAGTGATGGCTTTTGATAGCTTTTTTTTTTTTTTTACCGTTAAAATTCATATTATTTTTACAATCCAGTTCAGTTTCATTTAGGATTCTGTCTATGTCGGCATCTCACTGTTTCAAGGATGTTGTGCCTCAAATAGGAAGAGAACAAATTTAAATAGTAAATAAAATTTTCAAAAGCATTCACACGTAATGGCCACATCCAATTTAACGCCACAACTTCTGCAAGAATTGAATTACTAATGCGTTAGATACCGATTTGTTCTAGTTGTTTGTCACTGAGTGAACAGGGTCAGTGTTGCAGAACTGTGAAGTGTGAAATCTAACAGCATGTGTGGAGGTCATCATGCAACAAAAACAGCGCATTAACAGGCATACAACATTGACTTTGAAAGGTCTGAAGCACTGACGGTAGTGCTTTATCACTTTACTGAGCTAATGAGAAAAACAGACAAACCCTAATGGTTTTAGCAGTTCCTGCTCTTAAAGTTGGAATAGAGGCATGCTAAATGTTAGAAACAGAAATTCAATGTCGCTATTTACCTCCATTCTCTTGGAGACTGATGCTGATTTATAAACAGGCAGCATTTCAGTGCAGCTGAGACCCTTCATAAGCAGTAAAAGCTGCCAATTTATGTATCTACAAATATACTGAATATACCACCATTCAAAAGTGTGGGGTCTATAAGATCAATATTGATAAATTTCCACAAAAATATGAAGCAGCTCAACTGTTTTCAACATTGAACCCTATCAAACACCTCTGCAGAGACCTGAAAACGGCTGTCCACCGACGGCCCCCATCCAACCTGATTGAGCTTGATAGGATTTACAGAGAAGAATGGCAGAATATCCCCCGATCCAGGAGTGCAAAGCTTGTTGCGTCATACCCAAAAAGAATCAAGGCTGTAGTTGCTGCCACCAAAGGTGCTTCAACTAAGTGATGAGTAAAGAGTCAGCCAGGTGTTTTTTTATGTAAGCTGTTTAAAACCACAATTAAATGTCCCTGCTGTCTAAATCAGCAGATTTCAGCTGGCTTTTCTTCAGGTCACTCATTCTACATTTGACCCAATATGCAACTCAACACAGGACCCAAATTAATCATTGTACAAAAGCTGACAAAAAAAATTAAATAGCATAAAAAGATAAATAATAAAATCCTTAAAATAAACACTAAAATATATAAAAATGAACACAAGGCCCAACAAATAAGAAAAAATTATCTGATGATGATATATGAAAACCAATTTTCCTTACTTAAAAAAATGTTTAATTAATATTTAATTGTTTTCCCTTAATGTTTATCTTTGGTCTTGAGAGTAGATGCATGGCTGATCTGTCTCTCTTTTCTGTGTGTCTGGAGGGATTGAGATTAAGCCAAAAAACAATACAAACCCCCCCCCAGATATCACATTCATCTCATTGAAATTTCGGAGAACTGACATCTACCAAAAAATAGGCTTTGTAATTGTGACTGCACTGACAGATGGGAGGTCAGGAATGAGCCTGTGTTGGTGGTAGCATGTTGTTATTTCACGTCTCTTAGAGATCAGCTTTAAATCCTGTATAGTGACTGGGTGAAACACGGGATGGGTTGAACTTGATCTGTGAGCTGTGATTCTCTGACTCAGTACAGCCAGGCCATCAACAGCATGAATTCAAACTGCTTGAGGAATGCGAGACGGATTAGGAAACCAAAACAATGGAAAAAAAACTTTTTTCTTCTTGAAAAACATTTTAAAAAAACAACAACATTAAGAAACACTACAAAAAGAAAGAAATAAAAAGAAAGAAATAGTATCTGTATTTTGGAATTAACTACAAATAATTTTTATAAAATTAATATGCATATTTAATTTGCGATCACAACTAAACTATGCATGACTGTATTTTTTATTACTTGCATTTAATAATATATATATATAAATTTTTTTTCTAAATCATTTATATCATTACCTAACAGTGAACAATTTTTACAGCACGTGCACACACACACATTCATTTATATCCATTCATAACATTAATATTAACATTAAACTTGAAATGTTAAAAATGTATTAGAATAAATTAAAATGCATAAGTTTATTAAAAATAATAAATTATGATAAAGTATTGTACAATGGTAAAATCTAATGCATTAACTGTGACTAATTAAACCTTACTGTAAAAGAGTTACCAATGTTTTTTAATGTCCCATAAAATGTTAAAACAGTGCAAATTTTTCATAAGAATATTTATATAAACTGGTGCATAATTTAAGAATTACAATTTACACTGAAAATTGTTCTGCTTGTGTTGCATAAATGAAGCCACACAGTTTTGTTTCGAATCATAGTGAGTGCCCTTGCTGTCTTCTGAGGGAGCATCCTAAATAAAGTGGAATCTTCTAAATGAATGATTTTGAATGCTCACACACATGAATCCTACAAAATAGTGTGCAAAACGCAGGAGACTTAAATCCCAAAAGATTTCAATAGTTTTAAAGGGCACGTGCAGTGCTGCCAAAGTAAGTGATTCTAGATGGTTGCATAATTACTCTACCTACCCTACCTTCTGGAACAAACTTACATTTGCAGCAGTGTTTAATTAAGCGAATGCTTCCAGAAGGACTAAACGTCTGGTTTGTTTCATGAGCAAGCGCAACTAAAAGCAAATGTCACAACATATCCTCCCTCACACAGTGTTCAATAACCTGAGATAGTAGAAAGAAACAGCATTCTCTCATCCGCCGAATAAAAGGAACTGGAAACATTGCCATGGAGACAGAAGGGAGGGCAGCTGGCACTGATTATCAGGACCATTGCCCTGAGAAAGAATCTCAATTCAACCCAGACCGAACTCCTTTAGATCCTTCTTTTGATGGATTAATTGAAACCTCCACGAGCGCAGCAGCTGATGAAGCAATACAGAGCAGCAATACTCACACAAGGTCATTTGAGGTCAACTACATGATCAAGACTATTTTCTAATTGTTGCTTTTTAGCTTTAATGTTTTGAAAAGCTTTTGAAATTGCATCCTGTTGCATTCTGTTCTCACCGTTTTTGAACCCAAGACATTTTATGCGAAACAACTCAGAATGTCTTAAAGGGATTGTTCACCCAAAAGTGAAAATTTGCTGTTAATTTACTCACTCTCGGGCCATCCAAGCTGTAGTAGGTGATTTTCTTTCTTCAGTAGAACAGTAAAGAAGATTTTTAGCTGAAACCGTGGTCCTTGGTGATTCATAAAATGCAAGTCAGAGGATCACAAATTTAATACCTATGGCTCCTGACAATATATTGAGGTCTTATATGAAGCGAAACGATCGGTGTGTGCAAGAAACTGATCATTATTTACAACAATGTTAGCTGTAATCCAGAACCTCAGGCAACGGGGAAGTTCAATTCTTTTCTGCAAACTGGTTCTTTCAGACAGTTTGTTTCAGTGAACTGGTTCAACTCACTAGTTAATTTACGTAATCATGCAATGACATAACTTATATGCAATTATATTATTACAGCACCCAATAATGATGTGAAACGTGGATGTTTTACATGTCTAAAGCAAATAAACGGAATAAACTTGTTTTCACCAGCTCACCTTTTTACATAAAAATTGAGAAACCATAAAAACGTTCATTTCGCCCCTTCATTCAAGTGCTCGGTTCACGCATGCGCATTTCACCGACTCATCGGACTTCATTCCGAGTCAGAACCAGTGTTGCCAACTTAGCGTTTTTTTCCAAAAAAAGCACCTAGTGACAAATCTAGCGACTTCTTGGACAAACCTCTAGTTTCTGAGACTTCTGCCTCACAAGTGCGAGGTCTTGTTTTCCCGCTGCACGCACACCTCTCTCAGCGAGTGACTGAGAGGAGCAGGACTTTACACTTCAAAAAGAAAGGAAAAATTGAAATCGCATCATATGACCCCTTTAAAATAGATATTCTGTTGCTTCTAACCTGAGTGATCATTTTATATGCAAATATAGCCGAAATCACAGCACAGCCATTCTCTTTATCTTTATGTGTATGTGGTTAATTATTAATCATGATTTTAGTGCATCTTGGAAGGGAGATCTGGTTATGTAGTCTTAATGGCCCACGTTTCAGTCACTATTTCATTTGCATCCCATTGTCTGACAACAGAAGGAGAAAAATGTATAAATGAAAAGAGTTTAGATCTGTGCTGAAACTTAAATTTGTGCTGCTTGAGCCACGGACTATTTCAGACAGTTCAGTCCCATTTGGTCCCACTGGTTCAACTAGTTCACCAAAAAGAACCGGTTCAAAAGAATGATTTCTTCACGAATCAGACAGACCGTTTGCTTGAGTCTATGGATTAATAGAGTGGTGCAGGGTTGACAGGTTTTCACAACAAAACCCGCCCAATTGCTATTTGCTACTCAAAACTAACCCAATCGCGTTCCGGGGGGTAAAATACAGTAAAATTTACCGGCTCCCGGGTAAATATCGCACTATTGGTGTCGCTTCAACCCGCGGACATGAAAAACAACCCGCGGCAACAGTGTTAAAGTAGCCCAATTCCGCGGGAAAACTGTAAATAATGTTCAGTTTCTTGCACAGACCAATCATTTAGCTTAAGTCCTCAATATATTGTCAAAGCCACGGGTATTAATTTTATGTTGCCTGATATGCTTTTTTTTTAATTATTATTTTCAAAAATGTGCAGCCTGCATTTTATGACCACGGTTTCGGCTAAAAATCTTCTTTGCTGCTCTACTGAAGAAAAAAAAGTCACCTACAACATGGATGGCCTGGAAGTGAGTAAATTAACAGCAAATGTAAATTTTTTTGGTAGAACTATCCCTTTAATCAGGTAACAAGGCCTGGTCCAAACACTAGGTTTTGTGATACACTTCCAGTTTTGACCTCACACTTGGAGACTCGTCATAATAGTCAAGTAATTTCAAATGTGCAGATCAATCATGAGTCAAATCTCCCGTGTGGCACGCTGTCAATGCAGAGCGTTCCAAATCAATTGCTCACGAGGGTCCATTTGACATACTGTGCACAAGTACGTGAACACAAACAATTCTGATTAAACCTCCATTTTGGGCGTTGATGCTTTATCTTACAAAACAGAAACAATGCAAGCTGCCTACCTCGACAGCATTTTAAGGCATAAAGGCATCCTTCCGATGTGAATGCTGTTGTAGACAGCCTGCCTACAAAGATACTTCCTTTTGTCCAAATTCTAAAGCTGCATCAGACAAGGTAAACCTCATAATGTTTATTCAATACCTCCTGTGCACTTCACCTAAAGAGTGCTATTTGTATGATGCACAGAGATACTCCCTAAGTAGTGTTCCAAGTCGCTCACATAGGGTTCCATTTCAGTTAGGAAGCCAAACTCATAAAGCAGCAATGTTATACTTGTACCTTTGCTGTTGCTCTATAAATGTCACTGGCAGATAAATAATGATTAAAGTAAAATGTATAAATGCCCAATGCACTGTAATTGTAGCAATAAAAAGCTTCTTTTTTTTTTAAAGTGTGCAACTAAACTAACTATTACCGTTTCTTCAGTGTTTATAATAGTGTTTACTTTTCCTATGACTCTAAACCCTGGTCCAATCAACAGAAAATCAACTATTAAGTATGATAAAGTACTCTATATGAGTTGTGCTAAATACATACATGAACTATTCCTTAAAATACGAAGGTAAAAGGTCATGAAAATAATCTAAGACTTAATAAAATGCCTCCTTGGAGAGTGTGAGATGTTTCATAGTTGTTGTGAGATTAGTGTCAAGAAGCTGTTTTCATGGAAAATACCCTAAACGAAAGTCACTTCTTCCTCGAATGCTTTCGCTTCTTTCTGCAGGCGTTTAATGTCCTCTTTGCCACTGTCGTCTGATTCGGGCACATAGTCCGAGTCTTCATCCACCTCCTCCTCCTCACTCTCATTATTAATAAAACTGTTTTCATAGTGATCATCATCCTCAGCAGCAGCAGCAGCGGTCTTGGCTGGGCAAACAAAACAGCATGAAATGTGGTTTGAATAAAAGATTTTGGACCCAGTTTACACTTGTATTTCACACTGACCCCTTGTGATCACCTAAAACGGTGTAAATATGGCTTGAGAAGCTTAGGCTATGCAAGATGCGGCTACAAGCTTCAATTTTTAAGATCTTCTGAGAACGATAAAGCTCTTAAAACAGCTGTGAGTGTCTGGGGTTTCTGGCTTTGTTTTTGTGAAGCGTTCGGCACGCACTACACCGTTTTCTGGAGGAAAATAAGCAAAACAATCTGTGACTTCATGAAGCATTAAATGCAAACCACTTATCAGTGAAAGCACTGCTAACAATTAAACATCACAAAAGCCTGCTAGATGTTTCTCCTAATATTAATTCTGATTGATGCTGATGCCCATATGTGCAGTCTGTTCCTCCCCAGGCTTCATGCAGCATGTTTTCAATTAGTTTAAGACGAGTTTAATTGCATTAAATGTGACTACAGCCCAGAGGAGCCTCAGGTGACTCACCAAATATTACGCTCATTCAGTCCCATGGAAAATGATTCAGACTCTGGCTTCACTGGGCGAACGGATTTGCGGGTGTTAAATATGCATGGGTTGTAACAATAAACATATTGTTTATTCTTCATCTCAGAATGTCAAAGTGACTGCATCTGCAGTGATGACCAATGCAACAAGCCTAGTCATTTTAAATTAAATTACAGATATAAAATTCCCCAAAACCCTTCGGATGAGGATTAAGACATGATGATTTTTAGGGAAGATGCCAGAGAGCTTTCAAAAAGACTGCTGTACTTATATAACAGGACCTTTCCTGGGGCAAAATGCCATTTTGTTGTAGATTATGTGATAAAGTGATAGAATTGATAGACTTTAGACAATTTCAAATAATTGTTTAACTTAAATGATTAACAAATACATTTTATAAGCTTGTCTACATAGGATATATTATTCGGATGAGGATTAAGACATGCTGATTTTTAGGGAAGATGCCAGAGAGCTTTCAAAAAGACTGCTGTACTTATATAACAGGACCTTTCCTGGGGCAAAATGCCATTTTGTTGTAGATTATGTGATAAAGTGATAGAGTTGATAGACTTTAGACAATTTAAAATAATTGTTTAACTTAAATGATTAACAAATACATTTTATAAGCTTGGCTACATAGGATATATTAGTTATTTTAGGGTAAAAGTAGTTCAAATATACCTGTATATGCACACACACACACACATTTTCTTTTAAACTAAAGGTTTCTTTATGTTTTTAAAAGACATCTCTTATTTTTACCAAGGCTGCCATTTTTTTTCAACAATTTATTTAGCATATTTATTTTACTGTATCAAAATACAGGAAAATGAAATAAAAAATGAAATATTATTACAATTTAAAATAAATATTTTCTATTAGAATATATTGTCAAATGTAATTTATTCCTGTGATCAAAGCTGAATTTTCAGCATCATTACTCCAGTCTTCAGTGCCACATGATCCTTCAGAAATCATGAAGATATGCTGATTTACTGCTCAAAAAACATTTCTGGTTATTATTAATGTTGAAAAAAGTTGTGCTGCTTAGTATTTTTGTACATTATCATTATAATTCATATACACACATATTTGAATTTTCTCTCTCTGTCTGTACATCCAAAACATTCTGGATTTGAAACATGTGCATCTAAATTTTTTTTAGCAACTGACCTTTAGTGTTCCATCTTTAAAGAAGCTATTAAGTGCTCCATTATCAACTAAGCGCCTGGTCATTTGAGACGTTTAACCTTCCAAAGCATTTCGAAGTAGAGATTTATGTTTCTAATTCAAGCGGCTCACGTAGATTTCGTGTTTTCCACCGCACAATTTATCACTGATGAAAACTTAAATGCAGGAAAAACCCTGTATAATTCTGACAGCAGTCCAGATGATGATCACAGCTCACACTTCTCACATCAACGCCGTGGCCTGCGGTGCAATTTCTCACTGCTCAACGGGTATATAGTGCAAATTAGACAGGACAGCAAGAAAGGAGAGGAGACCGGCAAGAAAGACTGATGGCATTTTTAAGAATTAGGAACAGTGTTCTGGAAAGCGCAACTAATATTTTTCCATTCCTTCTTAGATGAAAACTATTTATTTCACGTTAGAACAGCAATAATGTGGCGATTTAGCATGCACAGTCATAAAACGACATATTGCCCAAAAAAAAAACATTTTGGCAGCAATTATTAAGTTCTGGGGAGTAACTAAATCCATTTCTCTATATTTTAATTTATTGCCAAACAGGATCATAAAAGGAAGTAAACACGACATTATTCAGTTTAAAGTTGAGGACTGACTGAAACCTCTTACTCTTAATTAGTGGTGTCTGCTAAGGTAAGCATCACTTTTATTATTGCTAAACTTAGAGCTAGGGATCTGAATAAACCCTTTGTCTTACGCCAAGTATTTAACTGTGACACACAATTCACATTAATTCACATGTAAAAATACTCACGTGGTGATTTAGTGTGTTTGTACTCTTTCTTGTGAAGTAGATTCTTCCTGAAATATTGAAGCAAGCACAAAGAAGAAGAAACTTTAAACAAATGCTAGAGTTACACTTAATCTAATAGACTTTTCATTTAAGGCAGGCAAATTAAAACAAGCAAATCCATTGTTTTTTAACGCAATGGTCAACTTTGATATATTGGGCTATTTTGCTTACTTAAAATATCTTCTTTCAGACTAGTGGAAAGAAAGCATTCAAATTACACATTTAAGTGTTTATTTGATTCATTTTTATATATTTGTGTCTGTAGATTTCAATTACAATACATATTTTTGAAGGCTGTTTTCTCAAAATGAGTTTTTACACCAATCTTTCCAGTTTTTATCTTATATTCTGAGAATTTTACTGAGGGGTCTATTCATATGTAATTGGCCTGATTTAAAAAAAAAAAAGTATTTTGTTTCTGGCTGCTGACAATACTTTCTTATATGTGGAGCGATAAAATGAGATATACTCTGTAAAAACCTTTATGTCAACAAAATGGAAAAAGAATTTTGAACCTGGCTTTGTCCAGTGTTCAGATTTCTGTTCTGAAAATATGACAATGCCACGCTTGCATATTTAAACCTAACATTTCTGAAAACTAGTAATACAACATGATTTTGTTAATGTACTATGATTCATCTACTGGGGAAAATATGGTGATATCAAACAGTTCAAATGTTTACCCCATTAAACTGTGGTGTCTTGCTTTAATGTTGTCTTCCTGAGCTCCACTTATTGTGTTTCTTATAAAGATGTGTAAAAGTGGACAGTCTGGAATTTTTTGCATTTTTGTTTCATGTTTTGCATCTTTCTTTCAAAAACCATTTTCACTGAGAAGGAAGTTTTGAGTTCTAAAAGTAACAGTTTTCATAATACAATGAATTCTCAATTCAAAAGATCAAAATACTGTGATTCAACTCTATCGAAGCATTTAAATGAGGTACTGTGCTTTTGTTAAACTCATCTGTCGTCACCTGTAGCAGTGGGTGCCATACGGACAGTCCGGCCTGTCACTGTCAGCATCCTCTGCCTCCTCTTCCTCATAGTCGCTGTCTCCAGGGTGACTGCACTCCTGAAAGTGGACCGGATTTTTCCTGGCGTGAGGAAAAACACAATTGCCGAGTGAACTGCAATGCATGCTGGAACACAATAAGGCAAATAAATTCAATCACGAGCATTCATGCAACTTAATTACACTGACCGCTAATCTAGTTGGAAATTAAAGTACTATTCAGTAGCATTTCCGTTGTTAATTTCAGTTTGTCGTTATCATTCTATGACCCTTCATAATGCGATATTTCAATTTAGCTGTCAACAGAATGAAACGCTGAAAAAAATCATTGATAAATCACAACTGCCGCCACTTTTTTACCATGTAGTTTCTTTATGACCGTGCCTAAAGGACAGTTTGGAAAGGAAGGAACAAAAAATATGCAGGGTATGTGAGTCCCAACAGAAAACTGAACCGCATACAAATGCAAACAGTTTATCAGTGCACGTCACGCTTCACCCCTGCGTTTGAGGACAGCGCCCTCCAGCTACAATACAGATTTTGTGTTTTTATCTCTCAGCTTTTTAGGATTAAAAACAAACGTCAGCGAATAAGACATTAGGGAAAACGTGTGTTTGTCTTTGAAATACCATGCCAACCATTTCAGTCGAGCTGATTTACGCATTTTAAGCATCTCAGAGAAGCTTATGCTTGTGATGGTTTCATTCTTAATCCTCTTCTAGCATTTTATCTTGAGATAATATGAACTACATCAAACTAATTAGAAAATGCAGTGTTGATCTTCAAGGAATATTTCGAGTTATGTTTATGCCATTATGCATGAAGATGCCTGAACGTTGGCTTGTTTAAAGGCACAGTTCATAAAGCAAAAATTAATTCAGGGTTCTTCAGGCCTCAATCTTGCGGTACAGTACCTGTAGCAGGAGCTGCCGTAAGGACATGGAGTCCGTCACCGTTTTTTCACCTTACTGGTGCTCGTCTTGCTCTCTGTGATCTTTGAGCTCTGCGGCCGTCCCTGGCTGACCTGAGAATCACTGGCATCTTCTTCTTGTGTCTTTGAGTCTACAGCGTGAGCTCGTCTGACCTCAGCTCCTCTTCCCTCCCCATCATCACACCAGTGCTGTTCTCTCCATCCGGGACTAATCCGACTCTGCTGCTCTTGAGAGTGGGTGCATCATCCTGTCAGGACATGCATGCACACAGTAAATACTCCGTTCTGCTTACATTTCAATGCAACAAAATACAGGTATTAGCTCTATGTGACAATTCATGTAAACATATCTATCAGGATTTACAAATAAAATGTACTATTAAAAGTTAGAAAAAATTCAAAATGTTTAAAATGACAAAAATTTTACAGTGATTAAAATGAAAAGGAAGAAAATGTATTCACTATTATTATTTAATAATATTAATATACTGTACACAAAATGACAATATGCCACCAGAGTGACACACTGATTTATTAGGTAATACAAACATAAATATAAACACAAAATGCACAAGATTTTTATAGGTTACAGATTTTTTTTTAATAAAAATGTATTATATATATATATATTTTTACATTGCTAATTTTATAAAATGACAGCAACAGCAAATTATAAAAGTCAATAGATAAATAGTACAATTTATTAATGATAATACATAATAATAAAAATAATTATTACTGCTATTATGGAATCATGGTTTATAATAATAATAATAATAATAATGTTGTTGTTGTTATTAAGTACACAGCATTTATAATAAAAATAATTATTATTAACAATCATCATCATCATTACATTTTTCTACCTTGTGATATTTATAATTTGCTGTTGCTGTCATTTTATAAAACTGTATAATTATATAAACAGTGCACCCATCAAGTAACCACAAATTAAAAAGTTAATATTATATAATAAATAAAATATATTGTTACATTATTTATATAACGTAGTATTTATATAATATGATATGATATGATATATGAATGATATGACATCACATCACATCACATCACATAATATAATATAATATAATATAATAACATAGATAAATAGTACAATTTATTAATGATAATACATAATAATAAAAATAATTATTACTGCTATTATGGAATCATGGTTTATAATAATAATAATAATAATAATGTTGTTGTTGTTATTAAGTACACAGCATTTATAATAAAAATAATTATTATTAACAATCATCATCATCATTACATTTTTCTACCTTGTGATATTTATAATTTGCTGTTGCTGTCATTTTATAAAACTGTATAATTATATAAACAGTGCACCCATCAAGTAACCACAAATTAAAAAGTTAATATTATATAATAAATAAAATATATTGTTACATTATTTATATAACGTAGTATTTATATAATATGATATGATATGATATATGAATGATATGACATCACATCACATCACATCACATAATATAATATAATATAATATAATAACATAGTGAACAATAATATATTGTAATGTACTGGGGTCAATAATCCCACATTGTGTACAATATCTCAGCTCATTTACCACAGGCGCAGACTCGTCTCCAGAGTCACTCTTCGGTCTCTCTGCTTTTCTTTTGGGCATCACTTCCTCCACCTTCTCTTCCTCAGATGACACCTGTGCGGCACGAGCCCGTTTGGGTCCAGTTGCCCTCTTGGATGTAGCTCCTTGTTTGGGTTTTGTAGGAGTTGCCTTTACCGCTGAGCTCTCGCCTTCTCCAAAATAGACAGAAAAAACACTGTGTTATTGATGGATAATGTCAATACTCACTTTTTCCTGAAACACCCCAGAGGGGCTCCAGATGTGACCTGTGGCACTGAGAAGGTCAGAGATGAGAGGTGACATGGATGTTTTGCAGACAGAGAGAACAGTACAGTACATGAGTCAGCCAAACATCTATCCATCACGTTAAGTGTGTGCAGAGGAAACAGGGTCTGATGGGAGAATATTCATGAGGATCCTTAATTGAATCATTGAGAAACATTTGCAACCAATTTCACTTCCATAATGTAACAATATTCAACAAGAAAACAACGTAGCACTTCATTGTATCCATGAGGAATCATTTCAGATTGTAAATGTGTTTCAAACATTACTCTCCATAAAATTATGTATTTTGATGTTATACAAAAAATTGCTTAAAATATAAATCTTAAATAAATAAATATTATAATTAAATATATGACATGCTTAAAATATTAAATAAATATATACATACAAAAAATTATCCTATGCACATTTATTTATGTAAAATTAAGCTCACATTTCACCAAAATGATATATTTTCAGAGAATTAACATATGAAACAGAAAATAGTAGTAAATACGTCAGTGGGATTTGATGCATCACCTCTTTCACCAGTCTTTTTAATTTTATGTTGCCATTAATAAAGAAATCCAAAAACCAGATGACAGCAATATAAAATTATGGGTAAGGATGTAACATCACACCCTGAATGGTTAAAAAAGGCTTTTGAAGACTTGTTCACTGTAATGGACTTCATGTATCAGAGGGTTAAATACTGCTTGCTAAAGACACAAATCTGTTCCTACATGAGCTGAATAATGTTTTCTCAAGCATGACCCTGAATGCTGGGTATAGTGCCACAAGATCTAGATGGAGTGCTGAATATGACAGGATTGGTACTAATGAGCTGTTTGAGAAGTCTGCAGCACACTTGTTCTTTTTTCCGAGCAAATTAGCGACACATCTGCATTTCTGGTGAGCTGCAGGATGCATGGGAGTAACACTGAGGATGAGGAGGACATCTGGGCCAAATCTGAACCTTGTCTGGCTGGGTCGGAGTCACAGCACTGTAACTGATCTGACAAGTGGATGGGGACTAACTCTCTCTGCATTCTCCATGCATTACTCAACAACTAGGCTGAGTAGAGTTGCCGTGACGACCAGACACTAGGCGGATGTGTTCTTTCTTTTTTGAATGGGTGTGAACACTGGATCTGTTGCCATGGGGACAGCACCTTTGGCTGAGGTCATCATCCAGGCCGGCAAAATACGCTTCTTCTGTGGCAGATCAGACTCGCCCTGTTGGCTCTTCGTGGCTGCCTTGAAAATACAAAACATTTTAAAATAGATGAGAAGTTATAGTATATAGGATATAGTCAAGTAGGGTATAGAAGAGTATACAAAAATATAGATACATATACAAAAAAAAGTAGGGTTTAGAGGAGGATAGATAAGAAAAGTAAAGCATATAGAAGATGAGTACAGAAAAGTAGAGTACAGAAATATATGTACAGACAAAGAGAGGTGTAGAAGAGAGAAACTTAAAAAAATATATATATTTTTAATTCAAATAAAATATATATTAATTGAATTACATTATATTAAATATATATATAAAGTTGTACATAAAAATAAATAAATATAAACATTAAGCTTTTCTCTCCCCAGAATTATCTATTTTGGTGTTACAGGAAAAATAGCTTAATGTTTAGAAATCTATATAAATAAACAAATAAAAAAATTATTGCAAAAGAAAATAGTAGTCAATATTTCAGTGATACAGCACAGTAGGTTATAGAATTATATGAAGAGAAAAATAGAAGAGAGAAATTACAGAATTGTAAGCATATATATGTAAGCAGATTTTTTTAATGCATAGGAACTCTGACAAGAAGTCTCTTATCAGGATTCCTATGCAATAAAAAACGTCTTATCTACCCAAAAATCTTTAAACGGTAGGGTATACTGTATGTGGTATTCACACACACACACACACACACACACACACACACACCTCATTTGGAGAGGAAAGAGTGTGTGAAGGATCACCGGCTCCTTTATCTTCTGTGAGTGTGGCGCTTGGGCTCGTGGGCATGTTGTTGGCTTCAAGTGTGGCCGAGTCTAGAGAGAGTGCTGCTGGTCCACTCGAACACTTTTGCACCTCCTCCTCAAATGCCTGACTGTTTCTGTGAAGAACCAGCAGTGAAAACCTTCTCTACTTCTCTAAGTTAAGCACCACACTTTGGTAAAATCCCTTAGATAAGCTTCAATAATGTAAAGCACAATCAAGGCTTGTAACTCGCCAGTCTTTAAAACTATTCATCATTAACCAAAAAAACAATCCCTCGTCAGTGTGCGCGAGCGCGCCATAAAGAAATTAAGCCGCCTAATAGTCTAATTTCACAGATGAAAGGCATGACTTTTAAATGCATGCAAATCAGCACATTCAGAATCAATTTGTCACAGCAGCACTTATCATTTGTTTATCATCTGGGCGTTATCAGAGCGTCTGTTTTGAACGTGTCCATTCAAGCCCAGTGTGCCTGTCTGCTCATTATAGAGAAAGACAATAAAAGTGTCCTTTGATCTGAACCCAGTGGTCACAGATTGGTTTTAAGGTAAAAGGTCAAAATGAAATAAATCAACCAGACACTCATTATCTTGACTGGAGGGAATATAGATAGACGAGATAAATGACTGGCCTTAATAAAGGGTGCTATTTTAAGATGACAAAGAATGATAACACTGCATGCATGAATGTTTTAGAATATTCATGAAGTTGAGAATATTCATGAGGATCCTTAATTGAATCATTGTGAAACATTTGCAACCAATTTCACTTCCATAATGTGACAATATTCAACAAGAAAACAACGTAGCACTTCATTGTATACATGAGGAATCATTTCAGATTGTAAATGTGTTTCAAACCAGAAGGAAGCCAAACTTGAATTTAGTAAGAAAATTTCATGTTGACTTTAAACAAATGCATTCAACACCAATATTAACCCTTTCCTTAAGGAAGTGAAAGAAATAAGAGAGGAGATTGCAAACATGTTGTACTCGGTCAGAGCACTGCACAAAAAAACTGTTCTCTGTTGTTGCTGAATAATAAATGAATGCTTGTGAGTGACAGGCTGAATCACCTGGGGCTTTGATCATCGTCTTTGACACGCACTCTGTAAATGTATTTCCCAGGCATGAGAGAAAAGATGTCACCCTCCTTTAGGCAATGCCACTGGTCCTTCTCCAGCGGCTGAGGGGAAGCCACAATGTTCGTCTGAATAAAACATGGGTTCAGGTGTGTCTAGAGGATAGAAATGAGAGGAATACTGGTCGATCACATGCAAATAGTAATCTTTTTTGCATATGTCTTCTACATACAGGCCTATTCAGTTACGTTGCCACCTTGTGTTGAAAGAGACAAGGAGGAGAGGAAGAAATCAGGCTGGATTTGTCTCCTGTATGAGTACAATGGCTAAATATTTCTGACACATGTGCACGAAATGCTAAGCCACGGCTTTGACAATAATTTCTCTAAACAAAATTTCTACATTTAAACCAATGTTGTTTTAGTATCACTTATTTTTATTTATTTATTATATATTTTATTTAGTGCTGTCAAACGATTAATCGCGATTAATCGCATCCAAAATAAAAGTTTTTGTTTACATAATATATGTGTGTGTACTGTGTATATGTATTATGTACATATAAATACACACACATGCATGTATATATTTAAGAAAAATATATTGCGTGTATATATTATATATATTTATATGTGATATAAATTATATGAATATAAATATATATATATGTAAATACAGGTAAATATTTTCAGAATATATGCTGTATGTGTGTGTATTTATATATACACAATACACCAACATATATTATGTAAACAAAAACTCTTATTTTGGATGCGATTAATCGCGATTAATCCTTTGACAGCACTAATTTTATTTTGATTACTTTTGATTTAGTTTAAGTTTTAGCTATTTTTTGAGCGTTTGCCATATTTGTTATGTATTTTTCTATATATTTTAGTACTTAGAACAACTTTTTAATATATTTTTTGTATTTATTTTTAAAATAAATTTGTTTGCCGTTTTGTTTAACTTTTTCCATCTAATATTTATATTTTGTTATTTCAGCTTTTCAATTATTTATTATTTCAATTAACAATACTAATTAATAGTTTTAATTAATAATAACAACAATGAATCGAGCTTGTGCAGCTGGGAAAAAAAAGTATGTTTAATGAATTAACTCAATAATCCGAATATTTATGAGATTTTTGAAAACAAGGGCTTGTTATATACTCGAAAAGATCAATGGAAGCGAACATTACCCAAATAACACAGAAATCATTGTTGCTATGACAGCATGAATAACAGGCTATAACGACGACACATGTAATTAAGAGAGACAGCTGCTCAAGTGAGAAAGATGCGAGGAGAGAGCTCATATTTAAACGCTTTTGATGTCTTAACATCAAAGGTGAGCGCCGCTTTTCTTCGACAGAAGAGCGTAAAATGACAAAACCACCATCCCGACTCTCAGCCCACATCAAATCAAAACAAAAACCTACAGGCTTCAGACGCAGCTGACCATTCTGGTTCTCAAGGATGCCGTGGTTCCTGGACACTCTCTTATCATTCACCTGGAAGAGAGCAAAGACGCAGTGAAACAGATATATAACTCTTTGCAAAACTATATGACGATAAACTGTATCTTGAAAAGTACGAATGCTTCTGGTGAATGGTACAAAGGTTTGGGGTCAGTAAGATTTTTATTGAGCATGGATGCATTATTAAAATGATCAAAAGTGACAGTAAAGACATTTTTAATATCGCAAAAGATTTCCACTAAAATATGAAGCAGCACTACTGTTTTCAACATTGATAATAATAAGAGCAATAAGAGAAGTTTCTTGAGCAGCAAATCAGTATATTAGAATGATTTCTGAAGGATCATGTGACACTGAAGACTGGAGTAATGATGCTGAAAATTCAGCTTTTCCTCACTGGAATAAAATCCTGTCTATCCCAAACCTTTGAACAGTAGTGTATGTATTCCTATATGAAGAGAATTCAATGTCACTTCCAATCATAAATGTTGAATGGCGCCCACCACTCTCATAAACATTGTTTGCTGTAGCTCAGTGTCATTCATCATACGTGTAGCAGAACATTACAATGACTCTATGAGGGCACTTCACTGTGAGCTGGGTGATTTAAAGGCACCATGATATGAAACGATTCGAAGAGCACAGCAATCTGTTTTGTCTTTTGACATATTTCCTTATGAAACAGGAAATTAGCGTAAGTATATACAGTCATGGCCAAAAGTTTTGGCAGTGACATAAATTTTGTGTTTTGCAAAGTTTGCTGCTTAAGCTGTTGTGGTGTTCGTTCACATTGTTTCTAGATTATTGTGTAGAGTGATCAGATGCATTTTAAATAATTGCTAAAAGCTTCATTGGCCAAAAAATGAACTTTTCACAAAAAAACAAACAAATTTCACTGTTTTTTGATCCTGACACAAAATGACCAGCTAACATTAATTGACTAATCATATCAGCAGCACATGTGAAAGTGTGAATGAGTACTAGTCAGGTGAAATCACTATCATACTAATTAGATTGTAAGAGCAGACTGATTGCTATAAAAGGAGGGAAGAAGCGCTTCCAATCATTGTGTTCTTGTTAGCAATGGTTACCTCCAAAGAAACACGTGCAGCCATCATCAATTTGCATCAAAATGGCCCCACATGCAAGGAAATTGCTACAAAGAATATTGCACCTAAAATAACCATTTACCGGATCATCAAGAACTTCAAGGAGAGAGGTTCGACTGCAGTGAAGAAGTCTTCAGGACGTCCCAGAGGGCAAGTGCCAGGACGTCTCCTCCTGAGGAGTCCGCTACGGAATGTGCCAACAGTGAAGCATCCTGAGGCCATCCATGTGTGGGGTTGCTTTTCAACCAAGGGAGTGGGCTCTCTCATAATTCTGCCCAAAAACACTGCCATGAATATAGAATGGTATCAAAACGTCCTGCAAGAGCGACTTCTTCCAACGATCCATGAGCAATTTGGTGATGATCCGTGCATTTTCCAGCATGATGGAGCACCATGTCACAAAGCAAGAGTGATAAAGAAGTGGCTCAAAGATCATTACATTGAAATTTTGGATCCGTGGCCAGGCAACTCCCCGGATCTCAATCCAATAGAGAACCTGTGGTCAGTCCTCAAAAGGCGAGTAAGTAGAAGTCCACAAATTGTGATGAACTCCGAGAACTAATAAGGCAAGAATGGATCGCCATCAGTCAGGATTTGGCCCAGAAGCTAATATCCATCATGCCAGAGCGAACTGCAGAGATTATGAAGAACTAGGGTCAACACTGTAAATATTGACTTATTATTATTATTATTATTTATTTATTTATTTATATATATATTATTTTTTGCCAAAAAAAGCCTTTAAAACTTTTTTCAGTATACCATAGAAACATGTGGAAAAAATAATCTTCAAATACTGAAGCAGCAAACTTCGCAAAACACAAAAATTGTCAATGCCAAAACATTTGGCCATGACTGTATACATACACTCACTGCAAAAACATAAACATAATAATATGTAATGTTTTTAAATAACATAACATTATAAATAACAAAGACAGTTTTTATTTTCCTTGGGTAATTCATCCATGCCTACTGAGCTTTACAGTATTTCTGTAAAAGTGCACAACAGACTTGGCTCAAATTCAGGCACTTGAGTTTATTAGTTATAGCCTGATAATTTGCACAATGGTAAGAACATTAGCATGCTATCTAATATATTTTTAAGACATATTAGTGAAAATATACTGCATAGTAGTAATGGTTACCCTACCCCTAGAAATAGTCCTCTCCCCAGAACAGTTTCTCCATAGGGCCGCTCTACAGGACTGCCACCGTCCACCTGCTCCAGCTCGAAGCCTGGCATCTGTGCATAAGACACACAGACCTGTTTGGACTTCATGTTCAGTGATCAAATATCTTTAATGTGTATAGAAATGCTGTAAAGCAGATTTGAGCTCGCCCGCGCTGCAGACTTGAATCTCTCAAAACAAACTCTCCCATTATTACTTTAAGAAAGAAAATACTTTCTATTTAATTAGGTCGCGAAGACGAATTCGTTAGAGTCAACTTTTCGCCGCTTCTTGTGCATGAAAAACGCTAAAGAAACTGACTGAGAAGTGCAGCAAGAAATTAATATTACTGATTATTTTTCGGACTTCCGGTGAACTCCGCGATGAGCATGCGCTGTATAAACACGCACGTGGGCTCTTTTCTAAACTTTTACCCAAAAGGTGGACACATTTTGTACACAAATAATATAAAATGTAGCCTATACCTCATATTCTGCATTATAATAATGCGGAATCAAAACAACTTCAAATTTCCGCTGAAGAGACGCGCATGCGCAGTGAGAACGGGGCGTCGTGACGTTTCTGGCGTAAACAAACGCAGACGTTTAAATCCTCAGCTGTCACCGAGACGCCTCCGCCGGTATGAATCTTTACAAATAACATATTATTTTAATACATTTCTTTAGTTTTTCGTACTGGATGCAGTTATATAGATGTATTTGTTTTTAAAATCTATTCTAGCCACTGGTTAGCTAGAGTTACGTACTGTAGGTGGTGGCTTTGTCCACGAACGAACAGATATCGTTACTGCGACCGTTCAATTACACGCACACGATAACCTATGTATTGCTTAAAGAATGGATTATTTGTAAGTCAAATGTTCTGTCATTCAAATAACTGGTGTTGAGCTCAATGAAAATCAAACTGAAACTCCTCTAGGACGCTGAGAGATGCAGAATGTCTGTAAAAGGAGCAAGAGCGCCATCTTCAGCCCAAAGCGAGGAGCCACCTTAATGATCCCTGGTGGCCAGGATCCACTTCAGCAGAGCTTTACAGAGACCCTTCCTACTGAGATGAGCGTGAGGATCTTCAGTGAGCTGGACGTCAGGAGATTGTGCCGGGCCTCGCTCACCTGCAGACACTGGAATGACATAATTGAGGGCAGCGATCAGCTGTGGAGGAGCCACTGTCTTTCGGTGCTGGCTATTTGCCGGAGGGAGGTGGACGGGGACAGGCTTGCTGGGTGTTCATGGAAGGTTTGTGTTATTGCTGTTAAAATTAAGTGATGTTCTGCTTCATTTTGTTCCTGTCTCTGCTGTTTGTTTCTTATTTACCTTTCCTTTTTGTGCCAGGTTACTCTTGTTCGTAACTACAGGAAAGGCTGCGTAAAGCGGAGGTGGCTGAAGGGCCGATACAGTAACATCCGCTCTGCTGACGATATCCCATCCAACAGCATGTGTCCACTGGACGTGGAGACCTGGGGAGAGATACTGGAGGCGGAACTGGATAGATAGAGCAAACAGAGACTGAAATACATCAGCTGTGTCTACAATGGAAGCATTATGACTGAAACACTTGCTGGGCAAATAATTCTATGGAATATTTTGTAATCGGTATTGCAAAAAAGCACAAAGGCTAAAAACATACATGATAATGTGGCTTTTGTTACCGAACATTTTAGTTGTATTACTGAAATTTGCTTGAGACTGTAATGAGGTTTTATAGGTTTCATATGATGGAAGCGTTTTGCAGATGGAACAGAGAGAGAGAGAGATATTCTCTCTTTTTTTATAGATCAACAAAACTGTGCACATTTTGATTTAAGTATTGATTTTTTATTAATTTATTTGATTTTTTTTTTTAGAGTCACTGCCAAAACATGTTTTGGTTTAAATAGTGCAACTATTATTTTATCAAAGCTAATATATTAATGAATATTTTGTGTCCCAATGCTGTACTTCCCTCTTCATTGCTGACCTCTCTTTCCATTTCTCTCTTTCTGCTATCTGTATGCATATGTCTTATCTTTATAACCACATAATCATTTAAAACATAGAAATATTGTTACATTTAAATGCACAATTTTTGCTATGTGAAAAGGCTTTTTTCGTACACACAGTGAGAAATCAGTATGTATGAACTAGCATTGCCTTGTTGTGAAATGGAAAGCTTATTTAATTTTTAAAAAGAGACTTCAAAAGCAATTCTGAGTATCTTTTCAGTCCTATCAGACAAAAAAATATTTTTTACTGCTAATAAGTAGCATTGTGCCATCTCAAGCTAAATTAAAGAAAGGCATTAATTGATAAATACGTTAATTTATGGACTGGAGTTGCGTGAATTATTGTGATGTTGATGGCACCCATTCACTGCAGAGGATCCACTGGTGAGCAAGTGATGTAATGCTACATTTCTCCAAATCTGTTCTGATGAAGAAACAAACTCATCTACATCTTGCATGGCCTGATAAGTGAGTGCATTTTCAGAAAATTTAATTTTTGGGGGTGAACTATGCCATATGAACTCATATGAAAATTATTATTAATGTTAAATGAGAATATAATTTGCCTGCTTTTGAACTTCACTCAAGTCACTCAATCACTCAAATTATGTATATTCCTCTCATTATATTTTTTAAAATGGCATAAATGTCATTTAAAATGACACTTATTGGTCTGACTGTCCATTAAAAATTTACACACATCCTGTTTTAATTAAAATTAATGTTTTTATATAACTGCTATTGTTGCAAAGCTTTCTGCAAAGACAAAACTGCATAAACATGCATATACTCCTTCAAAAAACCTTCATAACAGCCAATTAAAAATGGGTTTATAATTAATTTAGTTAATTATATTAATGTTTTATTAACATTTCAAGCTCACTAAACACGTAATAGCAGTGTTTTGTGTTTAGTGCATTTAAAATGTACTTCTTTCACTAAAAATGGCTCAGTAGCCTACTGCAGGCAGTATTATTAGCGTAGCACCACGTGATTCTTCAGTTTCAGCACTTTGGACAGGGACTGTTTTTAATCGCGAGGATAACGGAGATGGACACAATGGGATTAGGATCTAAATCCAATGCTAATAAGCTATTTACAATATTTTTGAATCCTAGAATACAATACAAACATGACAAAAATAAACAAACAAAACAATCGATAGGGTAGCAACGCCTATTTTAGCAATGCCATTTATATGAGCCCAGTTTGGCCATATGCATAAATGTATGCTGCATGATTAAATGGGCGTGATGGCTTGTGCAGGCGTCACAGCATCTCTCAACAGCTTCCTGGGACCATCCGCCATTCCGTTAATGACCGGGAGCCCTGGAAATACATCGACCTCCGTTATCTCGCAGCTATGGCCGACGTTCCAGCGATAATAAACATCGCGATTTCTTTGAAAATCCAACCCAATGACGGACCCGTGTTTTATAAAGTGGACGGGACGAGGTTTGGCCAGAGCAGGACAATCAAATTGCTAACAGGGTCGAAATACAAAATTGAGGTGATCGTGAAACCGGGTAGCGCGGAGGCCACGTAAGTCCATTCAGTATGAACGCGGTCAAATTGATCCTGTTTATATGCTCCTGATATTATAGGTGGTTGCATATAAATAGCTCTTAGCACTCGATGGTTTTCGCAAGACTGGGGCCGAAAGCTGCACCTGCGCTCCTGTAAGAAAGGAAATATATCGTGTATGTGATATAAATAGACTGCAGTATGTATATGCATTAAAGTCGATTCTTTATTTGCGCAGTAGGCCTACGTTATTTAGAAATGCTGTGAAACTGAACCATGTTACAAGTACGAGTCGTTAATGTTTTATTGACAGAAGGAATTTCAGATGTGTGTCAAATAAGCTAAACAGGCAGATAGTCTGACACTTGTTTAAACGGGGTTTTCAGCACAATGGGAATCGGCGGAAAGAGCTTCCCATTGGAGCAGCAGTCCAAAGATGAAGAGCAGGTCGTCTACAATGGCACCTACGACACTGAGGGAGTGCCACACACCAAGAGCGGGGACAGACAACCTGTGCAGGTCTTCATAGAGGTAACACAGCCCAGCCGGGAATAGAATAGAATAAAATAAAATAGAATTCATTATGAAATCACACGGAATTGCTAGATGCTAAATTGTTCAGGAGGATTTGAGATTTGAAGCTAAATTCAGCCTTCGCATTAGATTTCACTTGTACCGCACTGTTTTGGCTACGGACCTAAATGATGCCTCAAATTACTGAGGAGCTGGTGCTTGTGTTACTTTACAAGACTCCTGATTTGCACCTGACAGATGATAAAACAGGCAAAAAAATCGTAGTTTTGAGTCATATGTGGAGGTCAGAATGTCATACAATTTGGGGGATGTGCTCCTTGACCTGGGAGCTGGTGCTTGTGTTACTTTACAAGACTCCTGATTTGCACCTGACGGATGATAAAACAGGCAAAAAAATCGTAGTTTTGAGTCATATGTGGAGGTCAGAATGTCATACAATTGTGCTCTTTGACCTGAACCAGTAAGAAACCACCCAGAACACCATACAGCAAACTCATATAAACACCATGCCAACTACCTACCAATGCTTGAGAAATCATGTCAAAATATGTTCTTCCGTTACTTTAACTCGTCAAAATAATTGAACCACTTTCAACTTAATTATTTTATTTTATTATATATTTTTCCAGACAATTTGAATACACTTAAAAAAAATAAGCAGCAAATGAACTTAAGTGTCAGTTGAATTCAGTGGAATTTTTTTTAGTGAGGGCAATAAACTCTTAAATTTTCTTCAGAAAATTGTAGAAATATAGATTAGAATTGGTAGATTACTTTGTTAAATACCAGTCTCTAAAATTCTAAAATTGACGCTTTAAGGGTGCAAAAAATATATATTTATAATTTTTTTTTTTTTGGCCAATATTGTTATTTACAATATATTTTAACGGTAATCTCCAAAACATATATCAACCTTGAAAATTATATTTTCAGTTTTGAATATTTCATCTAGCCTATATTAAAAGGAAAGCAAGTGACCACACTGAAAAAAACAAAAACAAATTGGTGAATGTTTTACTTTTAAACAATTTTCACTCAGAAATTACTAATAAAATTTCACACAAAAAAAATTCCACAAGAAACGGCAAGTAACATGTTGAATTAAATGTGAAATTTTGAAGTAGGAAAACTGAAATAGTATTTTCTTGTGAAATGTACTGCAATAATATGTTTTGTTTACAAATTTCTTAAAAATATATATTTTTAAAGTGCAGACAAGTGCAACCTGTAACACCTAAAATAATCGCAAATATGCAAAAAAAATAGTATAGACTGCAAGCTAAATCTATGTAGTCAGATTGCTGCTGTACTTCTAGGTAACAAGCAAGACATGTTTTTTTTTTTCTAACAATGTCAAAGCATTTTTTGTTCATTTTGCAATGTGTTATGGGAGTGCAAGCATGTAAACGTTCATGCATCTGTAACTAAAGACAAATCACTCAGCCAACTGATCAAGTAGAAAGAACTGAACTGTAAAATGTTTCTAACCTTCCATCTTCTTTTTGTTGCCAGTTCAAAGATGCCGGTATGTTTGAAACTGTATGGCAAGTGAAATACTACAACTACTACAAGAGAGAACACTGCCAGTTCGGCAACAGCTTCAATTGCATCGAGTACGAGGCCAAGCCCAACGAGACCCGTAGCCTCATGTGGATAAACAAAGAGGTCTTCCAGTAAAACATGAGCAGAGTTTCAGCAGCAAACCTGCACAATATGACCTGTAACCATCATGGGGCCGCTGTGTGTGAGATGGATGACTGCAAAGTGCTCAAGTGAAATAAGATGTGGCTATTAAAGGCTCCAAACAAGTGATCCATCAGGGAATCTGTTCACCAGTCAAGCACTGTATCTATTTGTTGTACCACTGGTCATGCATGATCTGAACGTTTCAGTCTGAACAGAATTTCTCCTCATTATGTCTCCTCCTCTTTATCATGCCTGAGCTGGTGAAACTGAAAAGGATGGTGATATTGTGGGCGAAAGTCTCCATGGGAAGGGATTATAATGAGACCGAATTTTCAGCTCTCTCTTGGTCATTTGCACAGCACATATCTGCTCTATTATGGTTACAAATACACCGAGACCATCTTTCAACAAGACTCAGATGAGAAAAATACACTGCAGGCCTGTATTTAACCCAGTGGTTTGCTGTTGTAGAGACGGGCAGTGCTCCAAAAGGCTTGCTCAAAAAGGTGCTGTATAAACGTACACAGGCTATACATGATACTCTTTATTAGTATGTATAATATAATATTATATAAGTGAAGACCAGTCAGTTAATATCGTGGTCTTTTGGGACCAGCGTAAAACAATTATTTGTGACAGGCATGTCTGTTTCTGTATGGTGTGAATGGATGTTTAATTCTTTCCCATTTTGTGTTACTGTTGTTCACTGCTTAAACTGTTATATACGTTGCCTATTTTTCACAGAAGCATTATTTCACTGGTGAGAGTTAGACGTGAATCAGAAATGCAGTCAGTGCTTATTTTTGCTTAATTCTATGCCTATTTTCACTCATGTTCTGATTATTTGTTTGCTCGTGGGGTGTCTATGTGTGTTGCTGAATATCAATCTTGATTTTTGTGTGACTTTGAGCCAAAAAAAACAACAATCTTGTTGCTTGAAGTTCTGTTCTAATAAATATATTATGGTTTAATACAATACCAGCCAATAAAAGACCAAAAGAAGAAAAAGAAAAACATACAAAATATGCAATACATAGAAAATAATACATGTGGTGGTTATTTTTAGCTTAGCATATTGTTATAATTTAGTAACCGTATACCTGATATACATTACCTATAATATCTATCATATAAAGCTGTATTTGTTATATTTTTTAAAAAGCATGTTTATAGACACACAACTGGAACACTTTCAGATGCAAATACCTGAATATTTAGGAATAGTCACCAAATTTTAAAAATGTAATACAAAAGCAGGCCTCACAATAAAACACTCCAAGACAGATGAAATGTGCCACAGCAAGAACAAACAATAAAATCGGAGAAATAAAGATAACACATAATTTAAAAAGTGAAAAATATTAGATATTAAGCTTTATACTTTTCATTGTATTTAGGAATGGTCACCAAAAGTCTTTTAAAAGTTTAATACAAAAGCAAGCCTCACGATAAAAGTCCTTTAGGACATAGATTAATAAAGAAAACAATTTAAAAAAACATCAGGGATTTTCATATAAAGCATGAAATGTATTTAAAAATGTATTTATGTGATTGTATTTCGCCATAATTCCAATCATATTTATTACAAACTACAAAAAAATAATCGGGTATTTCAACATGAATTTATACTAAAGGCCATTTCAAATTAGGCCTATATTTGCACATTTAAATAATCTGTGAAGTTAGTATGAAATAAATTCCAGTCCATCCCCTCCTCTTCATTAAAGTCAGCTACTAGGTTTCTCTTTCAGACTTGAGATGCAAACTCATTTGATTAACGGTAATGATGCAAATGCTAGTGTATTTACAGAGAGAGCAAATCAGGCAGAAATACCCGGATGTGCTGTTCTAATATGCCCCTCCCCCCTCCGCTCGGCTCGCTCCCTCCCTCTCTTTCTCTCTCCACCACCACCACCAACTCAACCCACTGCCTCTTCCCCCTCCGCTGCGGACCTACCGAAGCCACTGCAGTCAATCCGTCATCCGTCGACTGAAAGCCCGAGGACAAAATCCGAGCGACGCGCTACTGCGACTTCCTCGCCCAGAAAAATAACCGTCACCGAGAGCGCCCGCTCAGTTCCGCGAGATTCTGCGCAAGGCGAAGACAACCCCGGCGACAGAATGGTAAGGATCCCTTACAGCACTCGCTAAACCGCTGCAAATATATCCGAGATAGCCGATACTTCCGATACTGCTGCGCTTCGGGCGTTTAACGCGCGTTTCTTGCTGCCGTGACTGGCTGGAAATGCGCTCGCGGTGTCGTGATCAAAGCCGTTGTTGATAAAACAGAGCCATGGCTGTCAGTGTGGCCCACGTTCAGGGCTGCTAGGCTCTGTACGCTATGAACGGAGAAACACACAGAAAACACATCGCTGTCTTATAGATTCCGGTGTAACTACTGTATTTGAGCGAGCAGGGATCAAATATAATGGCGCGGCGGGGAAAGAGAAACATTGTATGGCAGCTAGTAGCTGCTACTCGATCGATACGGCTGTCAAGCTGATCGAGAGCTGGTTTGCGTGTCAAATAGATCCGTTGACAACTTGAATCGACTGGTTGATTCTTCAGAAAAGCTTGAGTTTGCTGGGCCATTCATCATAAGATGGGGTTTCCTAAATTTGGGGACATTTTCTGTCCCCTGGGGTCATTGTAAATGTATGCTTTTTCATTTAAATGATAGGTTACAGTCTCTTTGAGAATTACTTTTTCCTCCTTTAAATGTTTACATTTGCCATGTTTCTGTTGGTCTTGTCTGTCGACCCAGACTTTTAATTTATAAAAAGTGTTAAAACTGGGGTAATTTTGCCTTGCTTGCATTTTCATAAAAGCATAAAATCATTTTCACATCATATATTAATTTGAATCACTGTACCGAACACTGCTGTCATTACCACCATGCCAAGCATTGTAGATTACATCTGTGTTTCTTAATATTTGGTTATGATGTGACAGTAGTTTGCCAGGTTTTAGACATTATGATTTGAGAGTGGGTTTATTAGGTGTCACTGGCCAAACAGATAGTATTCAGATGTTTAAATCTAGAAATATTGTTGATGAACTGTGTTTATGTGGTCTCATTGTAATATTTAGTCTTGTATATGTTATGACATTTAATGAGTTCAGTGTTCAGTGACATAAGAGGCAGTCGTATCTCAAAATCATGTTGATGCAGTTCAGTCCATATCTGAAATCAAAGCTGAAGAAATGAGCGATCCACAGTTATAAAAACTGGCAAATATCCTTAAGATCCTTAAAGTCATATTAGTATTAGCTGTATTACTGATTAATAGGGATGCACCGAAATTCTGGGCCAAAAACGAAACCGAAAATGCTTTGTAGTAATTATTTATTATTTTATTAAATAATATAAAGTAATTTTGTAAGTCTTTTTAATTTAACTCAATAATTTAAATGATACTGAATTTAAAAAACACAAGCCAAAATAACCACACTTTTATTAAAAGTAACAATACAATTGGACAGATAATGTATATATATTAAATATCAATATATTATTTTTATTCAGTTCTATGCAACAGGATCAGATATAACTACTATTTATCCAAATAATGTATAGTCCTACAAAGCTATTATTATCAGGGCATGTGATAATTTTTGGAGGCCGAAATTTCGGTGCATCCCTCCCTACATGAATTTGTGCCAAAATAGAGTTTGAATGGATGCATGCCATATGAGATAAAAATGAAAGACATGGGAAGTAGATATTTGAACTATGAATGATTATGTGGTTAAATTTAATTGTATTTGCGTTTTTTCCACTGCTGTCCGTGACCTTATCCGAACAGAACTGCAATCCATTTTTGAGTCTTGACCCACCAAAAATAATTTATTTAAAAAAAAAATTCTAGTGAGCTATAGCGACCAGTCAGATAATGGAAGCTCATTGGTCAGAAGCTGTGGGCCTGTTGTTTGTGTGGTACGGATATTAAACCTAACCTCAATTTACACCAAATTGCTATCATCAGCAGTGTGGCCGATACAATGCAGATATATGTATAATTAATTATAGCAAACAAGAGAGACACAATATAAAAGTTTGGAACTGACACTAGTTGCAATGAGCACACTTTGTTTAATCAGCTCGGCCAATGAGAGAATCTCGGTCTGCATATCTGTGTTTCAATGCAAATTACCTTATAAGACCACACTCCGTTCAAAGAATAGGAAAGTATGCATACTTGGGATGCATAGCATAGGATTACATGCTCCAAGGACTAGCTTCACAGACCCAGATTTAGCCTAGTCCCAGACTCTACCAACACCATGTCTATATTGCATTTTAATTTCTATCCTGTCTGTGTCAAAAGACTCTGGGCTCAAACATTTCCTCTGTAGTGCCTTAAAGTCAGGCCTAGATGATATCTGAGGGTTTTTTTTCACAATTCCAACACTGATTTGGGTGGAAAATGAGTGGAATAGATTTTAACATAGTAAAATGCATAACATGGAGCTGAGAGTGCCATAATACCATTAAAAATAAAAACTTAACTAGATTTACAATGTTAATAACTGTAGAAGTGCATCATCAGAAGCTGTGAAAATGGTCCATTGCAGAAGTCCTGTATACAACCCCATAGAGAAGGCTGCCATTTTCACCAGACGATCCAGTTGACATTTTGATTCAAAATTATGAGGTCAAAACATAAAAAAAAAAAAAATGAAATGCATGCACAGATTAATTATTCACTTTAAGATCTATAACATACATTTTAAAAATAGATTTTCATTTCATGCTTACATTTTTAATGCTTTTTTTAATGTCTGCTAAATTATGCAAGTGAACATCTGTTAACCAAATGTTTATAGATAAAGGCATGATTTGCATATTCATTTCAAATCATTACTTTTCACCTGACCTTTCCCTTTAAAAATACGCAATAAATGCAGTATTTATTGGGTATACCCAAAGAACACTCATTAAAGTATTTCTTCAAACATATAGCACTGGAAAAATTTCCTGGAAAAATACTAAGTCATGGAAGTAAAGAAATCTGTCCAGAAGCCAGTTGCTTCAGATGATCCTGATGTCTTATTAATAAGCGTTTTTACTGAAGGAGCTTCTTGATTGGACGTGATTGGGAGTGTTGTGATGTCATAAAGAGTAAAACGTAGCCCAATCGAACATTGCTACATTAGTATGAAAGTTTCCTCCACCTCTTCTTTTGCTTTGAGACATCTTTCCTTGCCTGTCGACTCGCTCATACTTGAGACCGTACCAGATGAAGTAATCCTAAACCCTCAATCCACTTTAAGTTCATTTGCTGTCTCTCTACCACTAAAGTCAAAATAGCACAGGGCACTCAACCTTAGCTAACCTACTAGCTATGGCAAAACACTGTCTGCTTGTAGTGCACGTGAGCGCTCAAACTAATTTTAGAGGGAGGGACATACTGAAATGGCTATGTTTAATACAGTAAACTAGAGAAGTCAGTGAACAGCGTTCGACCACGCAGTGACTCAAGTGACCTGTCTCACACACTGTTTAATCTACTTCTACACCATATGTGCAAATACACACACTTATGTACACACAGCATGGAAATACACCCCCTTTACTATCTCGACTACATGGTTTGTCAGTGTGCTTGAATTTTTATCTTAGAACAATATTAGAAAACGTCTCCTTTTATTTTAGCGTCATGAAATAGCTCTAGTATGTAGTCGCACAGGGACTTCACTTTGTAAGTTATGAAACTATGTAATAAACGTCTAACGGAGAGCTCTAGATATTCTGGAAGTTGCACTAGAAACGTCTAGGCACAGTGATGTCCCGGTTTATCTGTCCCGCTCTCTATTAGGTTGTGGCAGATTTGGATTCTCCCTGAAAGTCATAACAGGCCTTCAGCACACAGCTCAATGAAAGCATCATTCCTCTTGCTGACTTGAAACAACTTGATTTTTGACTGCACACCTTTCGACCTTTTTTTTTTTTTTTTCGGAAATCTTGCCCTCTTCTTGTCTCATCTGTAGTTCATTTTAAAATGAAAACTTTCATAATTTACTCTTTCTAATGCTGTATTATTTTCTTTCTACCATGAAACCCGAAACAAGATGTTAATCAGAATGTCCAAGCTGCTCTTTTTGCAGTCTCTTATGTTCACCAAGGCTGCATTTATTTGATAAAAAAAAAATACAGTAAAACAGTACTATTGTGAAATATTATTATTATTAATAACTTTTTTTTTTACTTGAATATATTGTAAAATGTAATTCATTCCTGTGATCAAAGCTGAATTTTCAGCATCATTGCTCCAGTCTGCAGTGTCACATGATCCTTCAGAAATCATTCTAATATGCAGATTTGCTGCTCAAGAAACATTTCTGATTATTATCAATGTTGAAAGCAGTTGTGCTGCTAAGTATTTTTGTGAAAACTGATAAATTTTTATGATTTTTTTTTTTATTAACCGAAAGTTAAAAACAACAGCATTTATTTGAAATATAATTTTTTTTGTATATTTATAAATGCCTTGATTGTCACTTTTATATCAATTTAAGGTGTCCTTGCTGAGTAAAAGTATGAATTTCTTTAAAAAACATTTTACTGACGCTAAAATTTGAATCAATAGTGTATGTATATAGGTTATATTAACATAATTTTAATCTTTTAGCATTAAATCGAGGGCAGAATTGCATTGCTAATAGAGAGAGTTTTTAGCTCTGATGTCCCTGTTACAGTGTCTCTCTTTGTCTTTCCTTCCTCTTCCTCTACGTTTCTTCTCTGGTATATATTCTCTTCTCTCTCTGTCTCCTGCTATTTCTGCGTGTCCCAGTGTGCTGAAACTGGATGGTGATGGGGTGTCCTGATTTCTTTCTTGGCTTATTGCAGTGTGTATTTCCACTCTAATGTATGACAAAGGAATGCTTGGCTGGTATGACTCTATCATGTGTCAGTCGCTAGAGATTTAGCAATTTAGATTTTGCTAGAAATCTTTTTCCATTTATATTGTGGTCAATACATGTTTGCCAGTGGCCCTCTAGTAATGAAAAAGGTATAGTAATGTATAGCACAACCGTTTTCAACATTGATAATAATAAGAAATGTGTCTTGAGCATCAAATCAGCATATTAGAATGATTTCTGAAGGATGATGTGACACTAAAGACTGGAGTAATGATGCTGAAAATTCAGCTTTGCATCACAGAAATAAATTACATTTTAAAATATATAAAAAAAGAAAACGGTTATTAGAAATTGTAATATTATTTCACAACATTCCTGTTTTTACTGTATTTTTAATTAAATAAATGCAGCCTTGGTGAGCAGAAGAGACTTTAAAAAACATTAAAACATTTTACCAAACTTTGAGTCATCAGCCATTAACCACACTTCGCTCTAGCTTTTGATGAGTTAAGTCAATCAAGTCATTAGTAAAGGATGTTGCAGTTTCCCTTTCAGGATGATTGCTGATATGATCATTGATTATGTAGTGTCTATGTCATCTACAGTATTATACACAGCAAAATCCAGTCTCTTCTCTGAGACTGATGGCCTCCTGCATAGCACTGTAAACTCACTCCTCAAATCTGATTAGCTAATTAACTAAAACACATTAAGAGCCATAGTTGTGACTCTGATGACCCTTTCACCGTGTGACAGCTGTATGTCATGTAGAGAGAACATACAAAGATTACTAAATCGACTTTTACATTAGAGTAAACAGTAGCTTATAATAGATGGCATGCTTTGTTGAGATATTTGATGAGGCCGAGTAATTGATTATGCTGTTAGAAGTGAACTTCGCCCCCTTTGGATATTTTTTCTATGTCTGTCAAGCTTTACAGAACCTGTAGGACTGATCAGTAACATTTTATGTGCATTGTCATGCTGATTCAGACTCTTGTTCTCTCTCTACAGGGAAATGAGGCAAGTTATCCTTTGGAGATGTGCTCACACTGTAAGTATTTTGGGCTGTTGCTACATCTTACCTCAAATTGTATTTGTTTTTTTGTTTCCTTAATTTCACCAGAGGTACTGAAGCATCAGCGAGTCAAACTAAAACTTCAGTGGTTCTTCCCATATACTGTATATATATCAGTGATTAAGAGGCGCAGCTCTAGTTGCAGAAATAAGTGTGAATACTTGTGATACTGACGTTGTATCGAAAGGATCGATCCTCACATTAAAAAACTGATACCAAATGTTTCTAGTAATTGTGCTTATTTATTGTGACAATGAATGTGCAAAATAAACTTAGTGGGGGAAAAAGTAACAGACAGCTCTCGTTTAAACAGAGAGAGAGAGAGAGAGAGCTGATACTGACAACTTCACTGTATTACTATGTACACTATATATAACACACTATATAAAAGCCACAGCTAAATGTGACATTTATTATAATGGGTTAAGTGAAGATTGTATTAAGTTCCCTTAAATTAAAAGTATATATATATTTTTAATGTTCTTTAAGAGTTGGGCCTATTAAATGTTGAAAATGATGGCACAAAGTAATGCTGAATTACTAATGTTGTACATATTTTAACCCCAGAAATTACTTTAAAAAAAAAAAAATTTAACAGAGGCATCAGTAAATAGGTATCAACAATACTAGCAAAAAAAAAAGATTTAATTAAACAAATTCTTTTTAGTAATGTTGTAATATTTTTGTTGTTTTTATTTATTTTGTTAGTTATTTCCATTTAGTTTGTATTGATTTTTATTTTACTTCCAGTTTTAGTAATTTTAGTACTTAAACTAAATGAAAATTACTAAGTGAAATAAAATACTAATAAAATAAGCATTTTATTTTTGTTAACATTAATTTTTTTATATACATATTAGTACATTTTTACAAATTTTTGTGTCATTAAAAAAAAACAAAAAAAAACCTTTAGGTACTTTTGCATACTTTTTGTGTAAATGGGGTAAATCCAGTCATAGTTTATGTAGCTTAAGCAAAATTCTGAGCTAAATTATTTTTGGTTAAGTGCTAGGTCTAAAACGATGTTTTAAACACCACCCGTCCATATCTGGATTTGTTTCAGCACTCTTAAAAAAAAAAAAACCCACAACAATATAGAAAACAGTGATTATGTAATTATTGATCTACGTATTATGTAGGCAAATACACGGTTTTGAAAGTGTGTTCAGCTCATCTGGTGCATATTGTGCGTTTTTGTTTCATTAATTTTTATTTCAGTTTTAGTCATTTTAATTTTAGTAATTTAAAGTGCCCCTATTATGGGTAATGAAAGGTTCATATTTTGGTTTTGGGAGTCCCGAACAATAGGTTGACATGCATGCAAGGTCAAAAAACACTTTCATTGTCTTATAATATACATTTATTTTTACCTTATTTGCTCAACGACTACCAAACGATTCGTTTAACGATTCATTTTTCCAAACCCCTCCTTTGGTCTCCGTTTCATTGCATCATGCCTGTAATGCCTGATAAAGCAGCGTTTGTGAGCGCAGTGCTGCTTTGTGTACAGCGTTACCGGGGAAACCGCTATTTTATCTCCAAAAGCGGCACCTAGTGGCAAAGAATGAATTTGCAGTTTCATTCAGACCAATGCGAAAAGACCAACGAGTGGGCGGGCAATATGCTAATGTTTCATGTTGACGTCAACATGAAACGGCTTGGGATTCGTTTTAAAAACGACTCGTTTCAATGATTCAGAGTCGACTCTTTCTTTTGAGAGACAATAACTTTATACACGGTGCACTTTCAGATTTAAAACTTTGCAGGATTTTTTCATTCACTTAGAGCTGTGTTACACACCGCATGAAAGGTAATTTTCAAAAATCCATAATAGGGGCACTTTAACTTAAATTTTAAATTTTGCACATTCACATCATAAACAGATGACCTGTGGTTAGTCACTTACATGTTGCTCGTGGTGGGTGATCAGACTAAGCAGTCAGTGTAGTCTAGTCCGGCCCTTTAAACACCTGTGCCTGTTGCTCTGGGATCAGCTGGAGATCAAGATGTGAGGCAGAGGGTATCCCCTGGATCAGTGGGGCTCTCCGGGTTTGGAGCAGGGCCAGCGCTAGTGCAACCAGACTAGACAGGGTGGCGTACTGTGGAAATAAGGGCTATAAATGCCTCCAGCTGGTAAAGGTTAGTCTCGGGGCTGCAGGAAGAGCCTGTTTATTTTTAGAGTTGGTGGGAGTGAGTAGAAGAACACGAGGTGATGGTCCAATTTTAATAGGTTTCTTTTTTATGGGTTTTTTTCTGCTCTATTTTAGACATTGTAAGTACTGACAAACACATTAGAGGAGCTTTTGGACTGTTGACACCTCTTTTTTTAATGTAAAAGTGCTGACCAGTGCTTGACTGAAAAATCTAGAGCCTATCCTTTCCATTTATTTAAAGGGACAGTTCACCCATAAATCAATATTCTGCCATCATTTACTCAACATCATGTTGTTCCAAACCAAAAGGAGATATATTTTTGATATTTTTGTCCAAACTAGGAATGTCAGTGGAGTCCAAAATATATATATTTTTTTATGTTCAACAGTAAAAGTTATAGGGTCAAGAAACTTTTAAGAAAAAAAAAAAAGTCATACGGGTTTGGAATGGCATAAGAGAGAGTAATTGATCACAGAATTGTCATTATTGTGTGAACTGTCCCTTTAAGAAATGCATTTGGATGTAACTGTTACTACATAACCTTTCCACAAATAGACATTGCTTTTTGATTAGATAAAATGTACTGATGTGCAGAAATTTGTAATTTTTTTTAAATACACTGTAAAATAAAAATGAAGTTGTAAATGAAACAAATTAGAATACAAGAAAATACTATTTCAGTCTTTCTACTTGAAAATGTCATTTTTAATTCAATGTGTTGCTTGTCATTTCTTTATTAATTTTAAGCAATTTTGTGTGAAATTCGATTCGAAATTCTAGTAAATTTTTTTTTTTTTTTTTCAGCGTATGTGAACATTATCATTTTTTATATTGAGCCACTTAAGATCAGCTATGTAGAACTACATTACCCAGAGTTCTCTGGGTACAAGCACAGGGTTCCCTTAATGTTGCTATGGCAACTTCACTGGCACAGGTTTCCAAGACCACAGAGGGAAGACCATTGGATTAAGATGAGTCTTACTGATACATACAGTGCACAGCAAAGAGTAAGCTGCATGTATGTGTCCTGTGAATAAGAGGACAAACCTCTTAAAGATCTGATCTGACGCTGGCATGCCACTAACCTGACAAATCCAGTGATCAGTTCTTCTTCATTCAACCCAGTAATGTTGAAAGCAGTGGGAGGTCAAGATGAAGGTGAAAGATTAATTGCTTCATTCCCAAGAGGTTTTGCTGCAGAATGAAGAGGCAACAGTAATTAATTTTGCAGGGCTGTAACAGGGTGAGAACAAGTATGCTGCTGTGAAACTGAGCCACCTGTTGGTCAGATGGGTGCTTAGCAACCACAAGCTCTCTCCAGTTAGTGACTGTGGTAACAGGACACTTATGACATTGTCCCAAATCATTTTTGTAGATGAAATGCATCTGGCAAACACAGACTGTTTATGTGAAATGCAAGCGATTAGATGGTCACCAGGTTGAGCACAACAATATAGCACTGCATCGTTATGATGGGTCATAATTACTAGGTTACTAGAGATGTGCAAAACTATGCATTTTCAAAATTTGCTAGTCAGTCAGTCGTCTGAACTGGTGTTAAGGTCGTCCTGTATAATTAAAGCAGTATTCTGGGTAGCATTTGTAGTGTAATGTTGATTACCACAAAAACGATTTCGACTTTAAATAAAATTTGGATCATTTAAAAGCAGAATTTATGAATGTAAGCACTTGCATTAATTCTTTTGATAAAACTATTAGTTGAGCTATAAAACTTTAAATAATTTTTAAATAAAATTGGATTTACACACACAAGTATAGTTATTATGCAACACATTGTTTACTTTATTATTGATAGTATTTTAATATTTAAAAATTGACTCCGTTTACTTCCATTGTGCAGTAAGTGCCTCACTGTAACCCAGATGCCCTTATTTCTTTTAACAAAAAGGCAGAGCAAATAAAAATGAATATCTGCAGTGGTAACAAAGTCCCTTTTAGGAAAGTCATTCACTCGGTGGCCATCTTTGAAATGCCTCTCAGGCAGCTATTATTTCAGTCCTGCAAGTACAGCTCTTTGAATCTCTTTGAATGGGGAAACACCAAATTCTCCAAAGCTGTTCACCAAGGTAATGATTAAATTTCATATTTGAATTCACCAATGAAATCTGACAACAGTCCCGTAAATTGTTTCTTACTCTCAAATAGCGTTAAAAACCTTATTTTTCAGGCCAGACCTGCCAATGTGCATGTGCGTCTAGAAGTACTGTTTCTATAGCAACTGGAGCTTCTAAAGGCAGCTGCAGTGATGCGATGACTTTATCAATTAGTGATTGGCTCTTTTGTTAAGGCGGGACTATTCCACCTCATTTCATGTTGCACTTTCTCCCATTCATAAGTAATAGGAGTGCATTATCTTTAAAAAACATTATGCCACATGCTGTAAGTTGAGCTTAACTTGTACTGAGCTTTCTTAAAGCATTAAGACATGTTCTTATGTTTAAAAACAACTAAATGGAGCAGAATGTAATGTCCTTAGACACATTTTTAAAGTGAAACAATTATTACCACAAAACAGTGGTAGAAATGATATTGCGGCAGTTGACACATTTTTATAAACCATCATGCGCTAATGAGCACGTACACCGCTGCTCTCCCTCCGCTGGGTTGACCGTCCTTGTTGCTAGGGGGCTTTTCTGAGAGGCACTTATCAGCCATTACAGTGGGTGAGGGTGAGAGACCAACCATGGAGGATCAGCATGACCGCTATAAATATTTCCCCTCTGGCTCTCCCATCTCAACATTGTTTGAATACTGTGGCTCAGTGATGCAACTGCCCCTGCTGATGCCGAATGGGCCGTAGTGAATAGCGTGAAAACTTTAGCTCTTGTTTTTATTCTTCTGTTGCCTTGAACGCACCTTTAGGTAGCGTAAATAACACTTTCAGTATTTGTACTGTGACACTGGCATGTTTTGTCCTGACGTCTCGGTGAACGACAGATGCATGATGGTGTAATACAGTCACCTGGTTTAATGACACACATTGGCACTAGCTGTATCAGGGTTAATCTATGGCATATTATTAGATATGAAAAATAAGCGGTTACATCATCCGCTTGAGGGTAATCAGAGAAGTGTCCACAAACTCAAAATAGCACAGCAGAAATCAGCATATGTCTCTTTACCTCTTGTGTCTCAGAGAATAATTGGATGTACAACACCAGTAAGGCAGAGCTCTTTTTTCATCTGCTTGCTTTTCATTGAAACGGCTATTTTTTGGAACCAAGTCAACTTGATATTATGTTATTGTACTGGAATATTGTAAAGAACTTAAACGTCGTCCTGAGACCCAGATATTCACTTTTGTCCTCAATGGAAGACACTAGTTTAGTTTTTCTGAATTTCTGAGTATGCAGTACCTCATGTATATTCAAATTATTGTAACTTTCAATTGTTACAATTATATTAATTATATTTAAAATGGCTGAAAACTTCAAATGTTTTATTTGATCTGTTTGTTCATGCAAAGATATATAAATTAAAGCGAAATAAATAAAAAAATCTTGTAAATTTCCATTTAGTGATTTTAATGTGTTAACACAATTGCACTCACTTAAAATTAGCATGCCAGACATTTGTATTTAATATATTTTTTTAATGTTTAACTTTTTTTTTTTTGAAAAGCATATAAAATTCAAATGAGAAATCTAAAATTAATCATTAAATTAGTGATAAATTCAAATTAATCTTTCATTTTATCCATGTTTACCATGTTTAGTCTTCTTAAATGGTACACTTGACCTCAGTATTTATATCAGCATTTTTAATCGTTATTTCCTTTAAAATGTCTATGTTAGTTGAGCAGAGTGAGTTATGCAGAAGTACAAGTACTTTCTTACAGATGTATTGGGGCCTCTGACATCGAGGGACCTGAAGTGTTACAAAGGTTGAGAATCGCTGCTCTCGGCCACATTGTGATTTCGATTTTTAATTCGATTAACTGCACAGTGCTATCAGCAAACCGCCTGGCAGCCGATTACTGGAGGTGTGCACCACGTGGCTGTGTGAATGAGATTAGGCCATTTAGCGGACCACAGAGCACAAGAGAGCGAGCTGTAGTTGAACAGCAGTCCTCTGAGGGATGACCATGACTGCCAGGCAGGAGAAACTGGGTAAGGTTCATTCTGGGATGAGTTCTGGCTTTCTGATGGCACCCAAAGGTGAATGGAAGTGTGTGTGAGAGCCCTGGATGTGGAATATTGCGTCCCTGTGTGTGCGAGTGCGTGTTTTAAAACTTGTGCAATCTTTGAAGCTGTTTTAAATTGACATTTTAAAGATGGATGTATGGTTATAGCTAAGGAAAATCAAAGAGAAAAGGATGTATTGTTTGTGTTTTGTGTTGAAATGACTTGTTCTCACTATTTGTCCATCTCTCTCTCTCTCTCTCTATTTCAGTTGATGCTGATGAGATTAAAAGACTAGGAAAGCGGTTTAAGAAACTCGACCTGGATAACTCGGGTTCTCTCAGCGTGGAGGAGTTTATGTCTCTACCCGAGTTGCAGCAGAACCCGCTGGTGCAGCGAGTCATCGATATATTCGACACAGACGGAAATGGAGAAGTGGATTTTAAAGGTTTATATCTGTTTATTTCAGTTGATGTGTAGTGTACATTGTTTGGGGGGTGTCGTCTACGCAGCAAGATGGTGATGTCGTTGCAAAGTATACTGGATTCCGATTGGTGCTTTTTGCTTGCATTCATTTGCATGCTGAATTGTGATTGGTCTTGTTTTCCTTGCATATTTTTAACCATTCATAACTGCCTTCATGCGAATCAAAGGGCTAAACTCTTTTGGAAGAACTGATATTTCCTACAGGAAATGTAAGATTGTGTGTTCATTTTCTGACCCAGATCTCAGTTGAAATTGTTGCATTGAGAAGTCCAGTGCACTTTTGTGGAAGCACAAGATTTACCAGAGTTCCATGCTGGTTTCAGAGGCTCTCTTTTCTAGAGGAGTTCAGATGCATGAACATAACCCGATTAAAGGTGAAGAGTGTAAATCACACTCCCATTTTCCGTGTTTTTTCTTGCAGAGTTCATTGAAGGCGTCTCTCAGTTCAGCGTCAAGGGCGACAAGGAGCAGAAGCTCCGCTGTGAGTGTCTTTCAGTCTTGAATTTCACCAACACTTTCCTCTAGTTAAGTTTAAGTGTTTAGTACAACTATGTTCATCCAGTGTTGAGCCAAACCAAAATAAACACAAAAAACCCTCATAAAACTAGTCTGTAGTGCACTGGAGCAAAGCATTTGATCACACTTTCTGGCAGGTTTTTCACTCTTTCTTTGTTTCTGCAGTTGCGTTCAGGATTTATGACATGGATAAGGATGGCTACATATCCAACGGTGAGCTGTTCCAGGTGCTGAAGATGATGGTAGGGAATAACCTGAAGGACACCCAGCTGCAGCAGATCGTCGACAAAACCATCATCAACGCAGACAAGGATGGGGACGGGAGGATATCTTTCGAGGAGTTCTGCATTGTGAGTCATTTCATTTTGGGTCTGGTTTTTAATGTTGGGATACAGCTAAATCTGACACACCAAACACTTTCTTCTGCAATTGCCATGTTCAGCTTTTGCTGCAAGAGAAAATAAGCTGAAAATAAAACAAAGGGTCAATTTTCACTAGTGAGGCACCAGAAGTACTTTACCGAAACTAAAAATTCAAGTTTATTTAATAACCAATTGAATAATCAAGTTATCAACTTTCTGATATAATTGTTTCTACTCCAATATGTTATTAAAATATAAACATTTAAACTGTGTCTGTAATAAAACCGTGTTTTCATGAGATTTATTATATGTATATGAAATAATGAGGACAACAGAACAAATATAAAGACTATGTAATAGAGCATATTTAGCAAAATTCTCCTCTCTAGAAGCTGTTTTATTGACGTCTTTCCATAGTTTACCTGTTGTAGCTTATCCACATTGTGTGCACAAATAAAATGCTGACATAGTCAAAACACGCCCTCAGAGAAGCACTAATTAAAGGGGTGGTTGATTGCGATTTCACATTTTTAATGTTAGTTAGTGTGTAATGTTGCTGTTTGAGCATAAACAATATCTGCAAAGTTACGAAGCTGAAAGTTCAATGCAAATGGAGATATCGTCTTTCTAAAAAAAACGGCTGGTAGGGACTAAAACAAGTTACTTCCCGGGTTCGTGACATCACAAACCCAGATAAACCCCACCCTCGGGAAAAGGCAGCAAAGGGGGCGAGGCCATACTGCGCTGCTTTAGAGAAGAGGAAGAGAAAACTAGAGGTGCATGTAAAAATCTGTTCATATATGAATCGCGATTCTGTCTTCTAACGATTCTAATGGATTCACAAGTTTCAAAATCAATGTTCAAAAGCAGCAGTTCTTAATATAATGTTGCTGTTTGAGCATAAACAATATCTGCAAAGTTACGAAGCTGAAAGTTCAATGCAAATGAAGATATCGTCTTTCTAAAAAAAACGGCTGGTAGGGACTTAAAACAAGTTACTTCCCGGGTACGTGACGTCACAAACCCAGATAAACCCCGCCCTCGGGAAAAGGCAAAAAAGGGGGGCGAGGCCATGCTGCGCTGCTTTAGAGAAGAGGAAGTGAAATCTAGAGGTGCACGTAAAAATCTGTTCATATATGAATCGCGATTCTGTCTTCTAAAGATTCTAATGGATTCACAAGTTTCAAAATCAATGTTCTAAAGCAGCGGTTCTTGATACTGTTCCTCGCGTCCCCTGCTCTGCACACGCTCTGCATCTCTCTCTCTCATTCAGCTCAGCTCCAACAATGAACTAGAAAGCCTAGAAAAAAACCACTGAACCACCCCTTTAAACATAATTTTGGTCAAAGATTTTGGCCGAAACGCGAAATAAATTTTTGAACGAGTCTTTTCGGATGCCGAAATTTTGGTGCATCACTCATTTTAACCCAAGCATTGGTTATTACCGGTTTCAGAGTGTATTTTATTTTTAATGATTCCTGCATTAAATGGAAAACGTGTCCGTTTCTATTAAATGATTTTGAAAAATATATATATATTGTCCAGTACTCATGAATGACTGAATTTATAGATTTTTTAGTAAAGTGAACATTAAAGATAATAATTAACATTTAATATGAATATAATTGACATGTTCATAATAGTATTTACCATAATATCTTTAATTTTTTTGCTGTTTTTCAACTGTTGGAATCTAAAGTTGTCTCTAAAGTGGGTTGCAATAGTAGACTATGTGTCGAACAACTGACTAGTTATTGATATTTTTCCAGTTTATGTTTTTAGTTTTGGTATGTTTTAGCAGTGGTGCTTTAATTAATGTGCTATAAGAGTTTGCACAGTAAAAAATTGCCATCAAATTATTATGCTTTTTTTTTTTAATGCACTGACATTTTTCGTGTCACCCTTTTCCTTCTCTTCCGCAGGTGGTTGGTGGCTTAGACATTCACAAAAAGATGGTGGTGGACGTGTGAAAAGATGGAACAGGCCCTTCACTGAACACCCTCTTTTCACTTCTCCATTTCTGAGAATCAGCTCCAGATGTTCCGCTAACACGCTCTCTCTCTCTCTCTCTCTGTCTGTCGCTCTTTTTCTTGCTCTCTCTCTTTCTATGGAAGTATTTCTCTGAATGATGCCTCTGTTCTCCGTCTGTACTCCCTGAGCCTTGTGACGCCTGCCATCCTAAGTGTTATAGAGCATGAGATTCTTCTGTCCACATTCTCGGGTATTTAAGGACAGTCAGAGAGACGATTTCTCTATCGATTACCGAGCGACTCAGTGTGGTGGAGAAGGAAGAGAGGAGGGTGTGTGTGTGAGCGTGTGTGTGTGTGTATGCATGTTCTTTATTTTTCTTTTTGAAGGGGGGATTTTTGTATTTATTTTGGTCCTGTCTTTTTTTAAAGATGATCTAGGTCTACAGGGAATATGTGTATGTGAGCGATATATATGACTTGACACTTGATTTCAATACAACACTCTTCAAGCATGAAGTGCCAATCGAAACATAGGCCTATACGTGGGATTTAACAATAGCTGAATATTGGAATCGCTATCTGATGTTCTTCATGTCATGGGGAGATTAAAAAAAGTTTATCATCAAGCTTGTTTTTTTGCTTCCACCTCTTTTGAGCAAATATCTGCTTCAGATCTCATGCAAAATGCAAATCCGATTTGAATGTTTTTACCGAAAATGTGTGAGTGTATGTAACGTGTGCGGTGTTAATATTGTCAGGGAGTTCATCTACCGTCTTGCTTTCTCATATACAGTAGACTATAGGATAAAAAGCAAATATATTTGAAGTTGTGCACATATATGCATATGGTTTACTTTTAAGACCGGTGTTTTATCGCACGAGCCGGGTGGGAAGGGACGATCAGATCACACCACGTTACTGTAGGATGGAACAGTGCCATCAGTAAAACTTCTGGACATTTTTATGCGTGTATTCTGGATTTATTATCATTTTAACACCGCAAACGAGTAATTTTGATTTACCTCTCGACATTGTAGTTACATATGAGGATACAGTGCATATTGTGGCAAACTGAATCCACAATAACACCTGATTTGAATATTTGTGTGTGGAAATTTACGGTTAATTTTTTCCAACTTGACTGCAGGCAGCATTGTAAAGACCTAAGTAGCTTATATTTGTATATTAGGGATTGAAGGACAGATTGTGTGTTTTGTGGGTTCGGGGTTTTCTAAGCTTTAATCGAGTTGGTTCGCAAAATCAGATCTGACTGACTGATCAGTTTCTCTTTTCCTTCGTCATTTCAAAGATTCGATTGTTCAAAAAGGAGAGACCAAACCGGACGCTTTCAGTGGGGATGAATAAACTCGAAGCGTTCGGTCACTCCGCTGTTTTGCTTTAAATGTGATTCTCCCGCGCAAACCGGCGTTTCGCGCCAGTTGCTGCACGGTGACTACGCTTAAATATGTCTTTCCCGAAGACCGTCGAGGTCTTGTGATGTGCTTGCATGATACGGGAGGGTTTCCCTCTCTCTTTTTTTCTGTTGTGCATGTAGATATGATTTTTGGGGGGTTAAGATTCTCTTGTTTACATATGAATCATACTATTGAGATATTATAATCAGAATGACAGTTACATATAAATATATGGACGTTGCCAAACTTTTGGTAAATGTTTAAATATGGAAACGATTTTAAAGCGAGTTTCTTCACTACATTTATCCATAAATATTATTATTATTATTATTATGAAAATTAACAAATAAAAATGTGAGTTATTCTGGATTGGTGTCCGTCACTCCCATCGAAGATTTTTTTTTCTTTCCTCTTTAAAAAAAAAGAGGGAGTTATGTTTTATTTTTCTCCTTTTCCGTTAATGGTTTGGTTGATTTTTTTTTTTTTTTTTGTACAGAATGTGTCTGTTAACTCCTAAATCAAACTAGTTTCTTTTTTGATTATAGGATTACTCGCCCAATAGCAATACATTATTTTAATTATCAAAATGTATTGATTCTCCCTAAATCTTTTTCTCATCTTTTGAATATTCCTTTCTAAAACAGCATTATATCCATTGAGAAAGTCTTCCAGTTTTATGGACATTCACACAAAGACCAGTCACTAGGGGGCTTTAGTCACACAGAAAAGATGCCACACAGCATTTGACCACTGAATTTACAAAAATCATTTCAATTTTAAGTGTTTTCTTAACATTTCAAAATTACATCAACTACTGATGAATGCATTCATTTTTATTTGAATCACTCAGTGGCTTATTTAACAACGTATTACTATGTCTTTGGAAGGCTGTCTTTCAAACACATTAAAATGCAAGTTATTGGTTGCATATGGTTAATGGTCACATGACATGCAGGTAAACAAATATTGCATCATTTTTGGCAAGTATTTTACTTTGTTATTTAAAAATAATTTTAATTTTACATTTTTATTATTTTCATTAAACTCATTAACCCCCTGCAGTCTCTTCACAAACCCCAGTTTGGGAAACCTTCACATAATGTTTAATGCGCTTTATGTTATTAGTAACAACGAATGGAATTTATTTTCTTTCTCTTTGTATTTTGTTTACCAATATAGAACAAGATTATTGTATTCAAATCAATGTGATAAATCAGTTAGGTCAAAAGTAATCTGATTATATTACTTAGAATATGTAATGCAATGGATTATGTTACTAACTACAATTTTTGTCATGTAATTTAGAATCAGTGACAATCTCGTTTTCACCTGTCAAACTCAGTATGTCGAACCTGATTAAGGCCTATTCCATTTAGTCTCCAGCAGAAATGACACCTATGAAAAAATGTTCAGAAGAAACGTTCACTAAATCAAATGGTATTAAAATGTAGTTGTACCTTTCAGAAGAAGGGTTATCTCAGTAGTGTTTCATTAAAAACCCATTTCCCTGGTAAAGAAATCAAACTAAATCAACCTAAATTGGGGTGCGTTTCCCAAAAGCATCGTTAGCTAACTATGGTTGTTAGTTCCATTGAACTCTTTTAGTAACGACGGAACTTGCGACCATAGTTGCTTTTGGGAAACGCACCCCTGGTTTGTAAGTCTCAGCCTGTTTAAACTGCACTCCCAGCTTGACTAAGCTGGTCAGCAAGCAAAAAGATCCTTAAAAGCGGTTCCAGAACAGCAGATACATAATTATGCTTCAGCCCCAAGCGGCAACCTCCCGGTCTCTCTTGTGAAACCAACACGGAAGTGACTAAAACTGCAATTCATCGACTGGCCGCTAGAGGCTGGCTCTAAAAGGGAGTCAGTCCCATAGACTCCCCATGTTAATTTTGCCCTTCATGACAACTGTGAGGGGGGTGCATTTTTTTATAACTCATCCGTTTAAATTATATTAAGCCTTAAAGTTCTGCATAATTAAGGGCGTGGCCACTTGAGTGACAGGTAGATTGCCGCTGCTGTCACCACCATTGAACTAGGTGGGCGTGGTTTCAGCAACCTGCTCCCGCCTCTTTGCCCATTTTCGATTATCTGGGAGTGACGCGCTGCCAAGATGGTGACGGCCCGCTCCGCCCACTTTGAGCTTCAAAAACTCTCTTCAGAAACCAACGGGTGACGTCACGGACACTACATCCATGTTTTTATACAGTCTATGTTCAGCCCACATCAGAGATCTTTAACTACTTTCTTTCGAGGACCAGCTTATGTTTTACATAAATGTAAATGGCCATGCTTATTTTCAGTGCAGAACACATATTGAAGTCTATTAATTGCCGACTCGGAAAAATGCTAAAAAATATGACCCAAAATACCCTAATAAATCAAAGGGTAAATTTACAGACATTTTCCAACACGTCATTTTTTTCTTTTCTTGCAAAAACTGTGTCCCGTACAGGATCTTTCTGCGGGAGAGATTCAAGACCAGCTGTATCAGTCAACATCAGGTGAAGCACAACAGACAAATTAGAACATCTATCACTTACAACTACACACACACACACACACACACACACACACTGCTGTTTCCCACACACATGCATAGACACCAGAGGACATTGATCCACTTCCAGAATCTGTGCCCCGGTAGCACAATAGTCTTGGCCTTCGCAGGTTGGCTTTTCTCAGGCCCAGTGTCTGAAACAGCGAGCGATACTTTGTATCGGTGTCCGTACTGATTGGGAAGGAGAATAACTGATGAAAGTGAGAGAATCGGAGTAAAGCAGAGAGGAGAGCGGGTTCAGCTGGAGTTCAGGTGTATTCTCAGATGACTTTATTTCTGCACACAGGCTGCTGATAAGCATGTTTATCGAGCAGACAAAAGGACAGTGAGGATCCTGTTGCTGCAGTTTAAACCTGTTCTCCATGTGCTGGCGACGGGACGCCAGCCTGGCTCTAAATGAAGCAACAAAATACAATACAGGCATAAACGGTGCAGTCTCTTACAGCGAATTTGTAATCCTATGGATTCAAACACATTTGACCAATGAATTTCCATTTTTTAAAGAGGTTTATGATTTAGTAAACATCTTTTGACAAACAGAATGGAAAATCAAGGTTCCCAGATCTTTTGGCCAATGAATTTCATGACTTTTCCAATCATTTGTTATTACTGAGTACAGATTACACTCACAAAAGAACAAATCTTCAGTCGATTAAACATTTTAGAACTGCAAAACAAATAGGAATATTAATTTACTATAGACATTTTTTAAAGGATTACCATTACTTTTTCCAGTCCCTGATATTTCCAGGTTTCCCACGATGGTGCAATTCTTAAGCACGATTGATCAAACTTGATTGATCAAACACAACCTGCCTCAAAAACTTGACAAGCTACCAAAGTGCTGTAAATGGAGATATTTTTCAGCTTAAACAGCAACCTCGTCATCCTAATGTGTGTACTTGCTAGGGAACCAGTGGTTAATGAAGCATAGATGTAGACCTTTGACTTCAGCTACGTAATCCTCAGTCAACCCCATATCAAAACACACACTAATCTCTGCATGTACGACATGAAGCTCACCAGAATGCTCCATTCATGCTGTCCTCATCAGAGTTCAGACAACACGCGGTGCAGTAAGTGCCTGGATGCTCGGCTGGTCAGGTGAAACCGCATCTCCGGCCCGCGGGGGCTTTTCATAGTTCTGTGCGCTAGCTACAGTTACACACCGGCAGGCTGATAACAAGACTCGACTTTCAGGAGCACTCATGTGTGCCGCAGGTGTCCGAGGACAGTGGCGTCAGACAGGTGTCAGAGAGCTAATGATGAGAAACAGACCCGACGGAGAAGCCTTGAAGCCTTACCTGTTTCCCTGAGTTTAAACACTTAGTAGAGACTTAAAAGAAATAGTTCACCCCAAAATGAAAAGTTACTGAAAATCTACTCACCCTCAGGGCATGCAAGATGTAGATGAGTTTGTTTCTTCATCTTGACCAATGAATTTCCATTTTTTAAAGAGGTTTATGATTTAGTAAACATCTTTTTTTTTTTTTTTTAATTCAGACTGATTCACTGATGAACCACTTAGATTCTGACTGATTTTGATGCTTTAAAATGAACCAACTCATAAGACTGATTCACCAACAAATCAGACATTACACTGTGACTTTAAGCAAATTCTGCTTTGCACAAAAGCAAGTTAGCCAGCTAAATATTTGAAAAATGAATAGTAATAAAATGTCCATAACCTTTCCAAGCTTAGAAAACACTAATTATATTAATAATTTACTAAAGAAATGCAACAAAACCACACAGAAAATGTGTATTTCAGATAGCTAAGAAATTGTGTCAGTAAATTGAAGTCAACTCTTGATTTAATTTACTGACTGAAATACACATTTTCTCTTCATTTCCTGTGCTTGAAAGATGTGTATGACATAAATATTTGTTTCTTTACTAAACAGTAAATATTTAAATATAATTGTGTTGAATATAAAATGTTATATGAATAAATATTAAGTTCTCATTAATTCTTTTAAATATAAAACAAAAATCTAACTTAGTAGAGACTTAAAAGAAATAGTTCACCCCAAAATGAAAAGTTACTGAAAATCTACTCACCCTCAGGGCATGCAAGATGTAGATGAGTTTGTTTCTTCATCAGAACAGATTTGGAGAAATTTTACAAACACGCAAAAAAAGCTGCGTGTTTGTAAGAAACTAATCCATCATTAAGGTGTTTTAAATTTAACCTTTTGCCAAAGTACAAGTCCATAATCCATAATAAAACTCTCTGTTGTCTCTCACATCAAAATCCACCAACATTTGTTTAGAACTGTTTTTGCTTGTAAATTATGCTTGACTTGTGCATATTTCTCTCCTGATTTAGACGAGATGACTTTTAGGACTCATATTTTAGCCAGAAGTGACAGTTTAAAGTTACAATGTCTTAATGATGGATTTGTTTCTTATAAACTCTCAGCTTTTTTCTTCACTAGATGTTAATTGGTGGACTGGAGCGGTGTGGATTATTGTGATGTTTTTATCAGCTGTTTGGACTCTTATTCTGACGGCACCCATTCACTGCAGAGGATCCACTGGTGAGCAAGTGATGTGATGCTAAAATTATCCAAATCTGTTCTGATGAAGAAACAAACTCATCTACATCTTGAATGGCCTGAGGGTGAGTACATTTTCAGCTAATTTTCATTTTTGGGTGAACTATTCCTTTAAATATGTGCTTGGTTGAATCTGAAAATGCAAATAACAATATATGTTTAAAAGAAGAAGAACCAGCCAAAAGAGCAATAAATATTTATATTAATTGCACCCATAACTTTTCCACTTTTTACTTTCTATGACTAATTTTCTGAAAACACCTAAATTAATGTTCCATGATTGTGGGAACCTGAAAATAAATTTA